CTCTGATCGTTTCTTTTATTTTCCACATCTTTCCTTGCAATGTTTGGATTGTTTCAACATCTTCTCGTGCTTTCCTGTTCTTGATCTCCATGTGGTGAACAATTTCGGATTGAACCTCGGCCAATTGCAGAAAGACTTGAATGAGTGAAGTATATGGCTTCTTTGCGTCTGGTGGCACCAGTTCCGCAGGGTTCATGTCGAATTCGGGCAGAGACAGGCAGCGGTTCATGCTCAGAGCCAGCGCTCTATCAAACATGTAGCAGATCGATAAAGTATACCGAGTTTCTCGCAGCTCATGGGCAGCCATGGTCTGAGAGCTGATCCGGCGAGGTCCACCCAAGGCCATGCATACTCTCGATGCTGACACACTCAACTGCCAACACATCTCCAATTTCCCCGAGAGGAGCATAAACATGGCCTGAAAGTCTCAGCATGAATAATTCAACAGAACGAGTCGCGCAATACTCACACCGGAAAGCAGTGCTTGAAGCAGTGGCAAGCTTGGCTGGTCTAGAACGCCTATACGGCATAAAGCTGCTTGTAAGTTCTTCTCATACTGTTGGCGCCTCTTCAGAATATGCTGGGCCATAATAGATCCTGTCGTATGATAGTTGGAGGCTCCTAGATACATCCAGACAAAGAAGTTCACAGTCACTATGTAATGAACACGCGTCGCACCATTTACAGACTTTTCAATCAGTTCAAGGGCTTGACGCTCAAGCGTTTCTTCAGAAATGACAGACCCGATGTCCATTGTAAAAGACTGGCCGACACTTTTTCGAGGACCTTGAATTCTATCAGCACTATTCGACAAGACATAAGAAAAGGAGGTTTCTGACTTGAAAGGATCAGATAAAGACTTTCGGCTGTTGGATAAGATGTTTCGCTGAATATATCAAAGGTTTCCGAAGAATCCTCTTCGTACGCAATGACGCTTAGCTGCTGGGACGCCTGCTTTGAAAACGCCAGAGCTGCTCTGAGAACTTCTCGTTTTCCTGCATCTAGCCCTAGGCGGGACTCCAGCTCCGATCCGATATGACTGTGAGCTTGTGCAGCAGCTGGTCCCGTTTCAGTGGTGGAGGAACAAGTTGACTTTTGCTTGCTATTCTGAGAAGCAGGTGTCTCCCCTGGCACGTTTCCATCATCGTGAAATTTTGGCTCTGAACGTTGTTCAAGAACTGAAGAGTTGCCATGTAATTGTTGGGGAGCAGCTTGTGGGCTGCGAGGCGTTATTCTTGGCGACGAAGGGTTCCTCCGAGTTGATGTGATAGCAAACGAATTATTTCTACATCATTTCCATGTGTCAATTAGTGTCGTCGAATTCAGACTCTTGTGGCCTAGTAGAAGATTGGGAAACGCACCTCACATAAGCTGCATGTCTAATTCTTCTCTTAGGCCGTCTGCGTAAACAATCCACGGAGGCCGCTCGACAATTGGCACAAGGATCCTCTCTGTCGCACTTGATCTTTTGAACGAGGTCAGTATAACATGAAGATTCAAATTATAATACTTCGATAGAGGCGCAGCAAATGCTTACCTTCTTTTCGAAGCAAAAGTCACACTAGGCCTGGATTAGTATGCGGTACTTCTTCACCAGCAGAAAGGTGGGACTACTTACGGCACGATTCCTCGGCGCAGCAGCGTTGATCGTCCCGATTTGAAAGGCCATACTTTACTATGCAGCAAATCAAGTTCATCATAACAGTGCTGACCATGAAGATTCGCAGTTGTTCCAGTTCGGAATATTGTGTCCGAAAGGGGTGTGAACAAGGCAGAGGGATGGCGAAGGGATGAGGGAGTAGGGCAGCCTGGCCGGAAGTCAGTACCGGTGGTTGGAGCCAACACTTCAACACCCGGACGGACTTCGGACGGAGACCTCTAGCTAATTGAAGCTGTCATCGATCGGGATGGAAACATCCGAGCGACCCATGTTGATGGGGATCTCGGGCGCGTGGGTTCGGCCACCGATGCCGGTGGGATGAACACCATTACTTATTTCCAGGTCATGTCGCACCCAGATCTTGACCACAAGCTGTGACATTGTGGACAATGATTGCCAAGTACAGCTCTATTGGGGACCAGGGCAACACAAAGATCACTGGAAAGGGTCCATATGCTACTTTTATTACTAGGAGATATTACTCGATGCAGAGGCATACACACAATAAGGATAAAGGTGTCTGCCGATTGCTGACTTTCCAATTTTCAAAATAGAAAGTAACTAGAATACCCATATCAAGGAAGGTTGATCATCTGTCTCTGATCCGGCGAATTCACGTGAATTTCCTTGTTTTACTTTCTCACATGACCATTTTCGTCAATGTCCTCACGCAGAATCTTCTTCATAAGCACTGGGTTGACGGGGTCAGGGAAAACCTGCTCGTATGTCAGTCATTGCCGATGTAGTCTTGAGCAATAGAATTGCAAACCTGATTCTCAAAATGAACATGCGCGTGTCTGCCTTGGCCATCCGGGTTCTTGATATCGTAGTTCATCAGGATGAACGCGACAATCAGCTTTATCTCGATATCGGCTAAGAATCGCCCAGGACATGCCGTCTTGCCAAAACCCCAGCCCAACATATCTCTGCGAGCGCTGACATAGTGATGCTTTCCGCCATCTTTGTCATCTTGACGCAATTTCAAGAATCTGAATCCGTCGAACTCAGTAGCGTCAACGAAGAACTCACTATCACGGTGTATGGCGAACGTCGGAAACTCGAGCTTTGTACCACTCGGGATGAAGGTACCGTCTGAGAGAGTAACATCTTGGGTAGCGCGTCTCTGTAAAGTTGCTAAGATATAGTTAGATCCACTCACGGCTAACAATCAATGAATGACATACTGAGGTTCGGCGAGTTCAGGCGATGAGTCTCGCGAATGAAACTGTCCAACTTGTGCATGTCCCACAAAGCAGCTTTCGAGAATTCCCCATTGAATTTGACCAAAGTATCAATCACCTCTTTCCTCAATTTTGGGATATACTCTGGATGTGCCGAAAGCTCGAAAATCGTCTGGGTGAGCACGGCGGAGGTGGTGTGTATTCCTCCCACAGCAAGATTCAGCTGCTCCTTGAGATGCATGTCAATGACCGCGGAAGAAGCACCTGGTGCCTTGCGAGACATATGGTAAAGCACACTCGTCGGCTGACGCTCTAATACGCCGTTCTTCTCTCGCTCATCAATTTTGCGGATAGCGTCGACAACTATAGACCTTCCGAGGTTGAGTTGCCTCTGAACCTCAGCGTATCCTGGCACAAATCGATGAACGACCGGCCTTAGCATTGGGGGCCAGAACTTCAAAGCATGCGCGTGCCTTACCCCAGCATGCAGATACTCGGTGGTCAGAGCGACCCAAGTCTCATTGTGAGGGGCATCACTGTCAATCATGACTCTTGCTGTTAGTATGCCGAGCATACGAAGCATTTTCGGATAGATGTTGACCGAAGTCCATTCTATCGGTAATGAAGGTACGTTAGTCAAGTGTTGTTGTAAGTAGATTAGGCTAGTTGGAGAGAATGTATACGCAACTCGCCTTCGGATTCAGTGAGTGCGTTGTGAATATAACCGTCAATAAGTGAAATGAAGTCAGGAATGAACATGGCTAGAAAAAGCGGAAGTTAGTTCCACATCGAAAACATCTTGAAGGGGAAACTGACGAAGATGAGGTGTGATTTCTCGCTTGAAAGTAGACAATGCGAACTGCTTCAGTCCGCCCATGTACGTGTAATCGATCAACAAATCCTAAGCTTTCTCAGTATGACAAGCCTGGCTCCATTTCTCTCCCGGTCTTACTTCGTCGAGGGAGGTTTGGAAGCTAAGTCCTGGCTCTTTCGAGATTTCGTCCGCATATTGATGCGGAAAGATGAGTTTGACACCTATCCTAGTGTGTCAGCACATGTAATCAAGGAGTGTTGTGAGAATATGAAATTGCTCGTACCATCTGCTGTATCCACGCCAAAGATTCTGTCTTTGAACTAACGGAATTATTCAGTCCGGAACATCCACCACAAGGTTCGAAGCTGCATACCTTTTCGTATCCTGTCTGCACAATACCGGGAGCATTGAAGATGTATTGGCTTTTTCGTTGTTTAGGGTCTTTGACTTCGAATCCAACCAAGGGGATTCCAGACAGCTTCGAAACTGATCGGCGATACGCGAGGGCAGCAGCAACGCCGCATAGAAGGACCCAGGCCCAAACAGTCGAGAACATGTCTAGAAGTATACGGCAGTACTGATTTGATCGATGTATTCAAAGTTGACGAGAGTAAAAGTCCAAGTTCTACTTGCAACACTCCCTTTGTATATCGCCCCGGACGAGACTGCCCCTTTTCATCACCATTCATTGACGACATGACTTCGTCTCGAGAAGAAAAAAGCCCCTATGCCCCTCAAACTCCCATAACCCACTGTGCGTAACAGATTGCAGACATAATTAGCGATCAGTAGCTCCTCATTGGATTGGGCTTGTGGGGTCTTAGCACACACATCTCTTCTCAAGCTGCTTCATCGATCCAGAAAGCCGGCTTTCCGTTTTCGCAAAACGGCCGACATCCGACAGAGCAAGTCTCGAGACTTGAGTAATGCCAAACTCCCACCAACGTAGTCACAGATTTTTGGTCGCACAGAAGTTGAGATCTACAGATACTAATGGGTTTTCCGGACTCCGGTTTCCGAAAGCCGGGTGTTCTCGAGACCCACCTGTCGCCCGAGAGCGACGGGCATAGCACGAAAGTCTATCTCATTACCGGGAGTTAGAAGCGGTAGCCGAGTCATAATTCTTCCAGAAATACGTGTTAGCTGTGTCAGTTTCGATTGAGAGAAACCGTGGCCAACTACAAAGCCGAACGACTTTTCACACCAGTCAACATGAGGGCAAGACACAACCGAGTCAGATTTCAAACCATTATCACCCAAATTCTACCTTGATTTCTTTACCTTGAGAAGAGTTGACTTGGACTTTTCGACTGCTGGGAGAAAAGCTTTACTGCCTGGACATAAGATGACAAGTTCCACGGCCCTTCAAGTTGCCATCATCGGCGGTGGCATAGCCGGACTCGCAGCGGCACGTGTCTTGCGAGAAGCTCATGATGTCACCATATACGAGCGTAATGATCCAGAAGCGGGAGAAAGTGGTGCTGCCATCGGGCTAGGTCCAAATGGCTCGAAGATGGCCGCCAGACTTGGACTTACTAAAGAGTCCCTGAAAGCTGTTGTATCTAATGGCTTCAGGAGTTATGACCAAAACGGCAACTTGATTAAAGAATCAAGGATTGACTGCGTCAAAGACTTCGGTTCCGAGTGGTGGATGGTCCATCGCCAGGATCTCAAAGATGCTCTCCTACGAGCTGCAACAAGCCCTGATCTGGTTCTATCTGGTCGTCCTGCCAAGATTATCTACAATTCTCGCGTTGTGCGAATTGACCCTCAAGATCGAGCTTTAATCTTTGAAGATGGGTCCGAGATCAAAGCGGATCTCATAATTGGTACGTCTAGTCGCTGTGCTAAACTAAGATGACTGAACCTTAAGAGTATCCAGGTGCGGACGGCATTCATTCGAAAGTCCGTCGAGCTGTTGCTGGTCCGTGTTACGCTGAGTCAACTCCCGCGAACCTTTCTTTGTACAGGTTCACCGTTAGCCGTTCCAGAGTATCGGATGTTCTCGGAGAAATTCCGGATGTGCTCAGATATGAAAACGGCGTTTTTCTATCTTCCTTTATTGCGGCGGACGGGTCGAACCGAAACGTTGTTGTATACCCCTGTCGCGATATGGAGGTCATGAACTTTGCTTGCGCTGTCCCAGACAGTATGCTTCGGCAGCAGACCGAAGAGTCTTGGACTAAGGATGGCGATGTACACGAAATGCTTGAGAGTTTTAAGGACTTTCCATCATGGCTTCTACAACTCATGAAGTGGGCTACCCTACATCATTTTTTCGAGATGAAGGAACGCTAAGCTGACTACCATTACCAGAACCTTGCCTGACGTCAAACTATATCAACTCCGTGATGCAGACCCTTTAAGTACCTTTACGAAAGATTCGACTGTTTTGATTGGCGATGCAGCCCACCCTATGGTGCCGTATCAAGGACAAGGAGCCAACCAAGCTTTGGAAGATGCTGAAGCATTCAGAATTCTAGTTCACCCAGACTTCACACAAGAGAATTTGCCCGGTAAGCTGAAGCAATGGAACCAAGCCAGGTGTAGCCGCGCATCCCAGGTTCAGCTGAACTCAAGAGTAGCGGCAGCTAAAGTTTCGCCTGAGATTATCATGCAAAGGATGAAATTCAACTGGACTTACGACGGGATCGCAACCTCTCCGGCGGGCCTTGGGAGCATCAATGATCTTCCAAGTTCCGACTTTTCTAGATGATCATCTGAGTTTTAAGTTAGAGACAGAGTTTGAAAATAGAGATACTTTTCTACTGCGCTTCCTGGACCATTGCAACAAGTTTACGTAACCTCCCTACTTCTCAACGTGTTCAACTCAGTTCCCCCTTCCTGACCGTCCGCATAAGTTGCGTAAGTCAGGTAGTCTTTGTACGCGTTTGATCTTGGGTCGCTAGTTGTTGAACTCTCCGTGCCGCTGCTCTTTACGGTTGCTTGTGAGCTCTCCCAACCCGAGCGATTGCCCGTTATCCTGATTGTAGTGATGCGTGCCAAAGTGTCCTGAATGCGGCGAGCAACGGAACGCCCTGTTCGTGGCTGATTCCTGTCTGGCTGCTGAGGCGTATACTGCTTCATGCGATACATTCGCGGTGACACTCGTCGAATGAAAGAAGTCATCCCCGGCATGCACGCACAAATGACACTCATGTGCATCTCAACCAACGACCAAATTGATAGTTCTTTGTAATCGTCTGTATGCAAATTCTGAAGTCAGTTCTGGTCTCCAAAAGTCTGTAAGATCTCACTCACACGTTGGATTCTGCGTTCCGCCGAACTTCGCCAATGTAGCCAGCCGGATCCCACTCGAGGCCGTCACCCTATAGGGCAATCAGTAACCCCTAGAATACATAATGAGTTATGTATAGCGGTACTTACGATAAACCAACTAAAAATATGAGGCTCACGCCGATCTTCTTCTTGAGAGTCCACGAGACAGTGATACTACATCCTTTGATCAGTAATCGAGTACTGAGCAACCTCTGACATCTTCTTACAATTGAGTGACTGGCAAAATGAACAAAATGAAGTCGATGGCAATATTCACTCCACCGTTGATAAATGCCATGAGATTAACGTTCCCGCACTAGTTGGAATCCCAAAATCAGCCAGTGTGATCCGAATGGAATGGCAGTAGGCCAGGGTGAAGCCACATTAGACGCATACCTTTCCTTGATGCTCACCATCCCATTGCGTCCAATTATAGCTCACTGGGGAGCATACGAGGACGATAGCTAGTATCTGCCCGATACCATAGACCGTCGTGACCCCTAACATAACATAGCAAACCACCCGGAACCAGGTCTCGGCGAAGAGACGTAGGTAGAATATGAGGATCGACAACTTGGTGACAGCCACAACGAATGAGTAGAGAAGCTCCTCGACGAAGAAAAGCTTGACATTATGTCAGTATGCTATCAGTTCCCCAGTGATTGGGAGCATGGGGTATTGGGGCCCGTCCTTACCAAGAGAATCTGGGTGATGTTGTCTGGAGAGACCATCCATATGTCCTGCCCCAGACCTATACCGATCACTACGGATATGGTCAGTCATGATTGTTGAATAAGGATGTCAGCTCGTGAACACACAAATTTGCGATCCAATGTCTGCTGGGATCAGCGCAAGAGTAGATGCAAGGATCAGCCAGTCGTCCCAGCCGAACGAGAATGCAGGATTCAAAGAAGGAATTTTGGAGATCAGTCGAGCAGCTAGAGCCACCAGCGCAATAGAGAAGAGAGTCCATGTGATGGGACCTTGATCCGTGTTGCGACGAACGGGCACTCTGCAAGACGTTTTCGAGTATCTCTGTGCCTCTGGTAGTTAGACGCCTGTCAGCATGATCTATGCGCAACGTCTTGTAGACTTGAACCAAATGATAGATGGGCTTCGAAAGAAAACCGCTTCCAAACAAGTGATGTCATACGTAGAGACTCAGTCACAGTGCAATGCTGTGCCAAACATGCGCCAATGTTTCCGTTGAGCAAACGATTTGTGCAAATACACGTAAAGTCGGTAGCGTTGCAAGGCGACTTTGCAACCTCTCTCGTTGTGCAATTCAACTACGTTACCTTGAGTTAACGTTCACTTAGAATAGCAGATCAGTGGGGTCTTACTGCACATGGGGATAACGAGGCTGCCATCTGCTCCATCGCGGCTGCTGCCGGGTCAAGGGGGGCTGGTGATGTTACCCCGGGCGAAGTTGCATTTGATATTGTGGTCAGTTGTATAGAGGTGGATGCTGCTATCACATCTACGGCGAGGCATGCTAGCCAAACCGCGATGCGCAGTCTGGTCCAGCTCATGGCTGCGTGTCATCTGAGGGTTGAGGCAAGTCGTCCTGTCCACCTGGCGTGATCATAAACGTGATGGAAAAAAGCCCAGAACCAACGCCTAGCCATGATTACGAGATCATTGCGCGTGTTGAAAGGATGGGGGCTCCACCCTATTTATGAGGTCACTAATTGTCGCTACAGCCGGTTGCAGTCTAGATCGAGCGAAACGAGAGGCTATGTGGATCGGAGCAACCCAGGCCTGCCGGGGAGGCGGCGCATGCGGATGAGACATTTGTGCGATGCAGTTGTCGGTGCGAAGCCAAACTCAAAACGGACGATTTTCATCGTCAAGTTCGCTGCACTGAGTCAGACTGTCTGTTAGCTAGAAAATTGCGAGCCCAAATTACTGCCCACGCGAGCTACGCTGTCGTGGACTCGGACAAGGTTTGTAGCCGTCGTTCCAGAGCATAAAGAGACGGCAGGTTGCCACGGGACGTGGAGCGGCATGTTCGACTCCGCAAGGGCACAGGCACCTTGGTTGCCCGGCTCGGTCCAGATTCGGGAATGACTCGATCCATGGGAAGCGCGGGCCTTTTTGTGTCGTTTACGAGATGTCGCGACACAGTGATAGAATAGACTTTTGCCCAATTCTCACTTCCCACGTGGCAGCTACACTACCTATCCTTAAGAATGGGAGCTTGCCCGCCGAGCAGCCACGCGGCCATGACACGAACAGAACGGAGCAATTCCCTGCGAAGTTCCCCGAAGAATTACGCAACAACGCTTCGTGAACACTCAAAAGACCGAACACATGATGAGCCTTGAGCACTAAAATTGCACACCCATCTTGTTTACAATAAAGCACAGGTTCATCGGCCGGTTCAAGAGTCTTGTGAACATGCAAGAGAAATGCTCGACTCGAAGTCTCAGTACTTAGGCCATATGTGACTCGCGTATCAGAGCTCATAACCTTATGCTAGGAAGCCTTGATAGATCAACTCGTCGAGCATGGCTGAATGAGTCAGTCGCTGCCCGTGCTTTGCTTGGTCTGAAGGGGCCCTTAGTTCTTATTACCTTGGAATTGACGGGTTGTTTGATCGCATGTCCTGATCCGAATGGTTTTTATGTGCAATGTGATACTGAGCTACTAGACAAGTATTCACCCATCTTGTGAGAGTCATGGTGTAGATATGGGATACCTGGGTAGTTCCAAGCTCTATCCAGGCTGCCTTCAAAGCAATGCTCGTTATAGGTTGAGTCTTATTGTTTACAAGACACAGTACTTGCAATTTCTTGGATTGAATTGGGTTCTAGGATCCTACCTTAGACTGAACAAGTCCGAGCTGGCCAATGAATGACATTCCCAGATGAGTATGGCTGAAGGTCACGCCTAGACCTGCCATACTTCGTAACAGAGCACCAAGAATTTCTTGTTGTGCAACCATCAGGTATAGAAATGTTTTCAATCAATTCGTCAGAACTCAGATGAGGGCTAAGACTACACGGGCAGGTATGAAGAGGCGAAAGGATCAACGACAGGTATATTTTGCAGCCTGTCTCGGATCACGAAGCTGTGCCACAGCTATACAGTCAAACTATCACGTACTAATTCGTTTTCAGATTTACGGATGCTGGGCTTGCACAACAAGTGCGAGGCGCCTAGTTCTTGAAAGGAAGGCAACCTGAATTGAATCTCGGCTGTCTTATCATTCTGCCGATTGAGTCCCATATAGGAAAGTGAGAACGTTGCCACGCTTACTTTCCATAGCTTGGCAGATCCTATAGGATTTTACTCTTACCCTTACATCCAGAACTGCAGGTCTCATAGGGTAATTGTCAGCTAGCCGTCGCTCCGCCAAGATGACTAGCGACTCTAGCAATTATCTCTGCTAATGTGGGAAGTAAGAATGTATTGCCGAGAATGTTATTCTCTGTCCAATGTTGTTAATGCCAGAGAGCTATAAAGACTACATGTTAGCATCCAGGAAGCCAGATTATAACTCGATCTCATCAATCACACTAGATCAACAATTTGAACATCTTCAAGTCTAACTGTATCACCGTCTTCAACTCACAAAACCTCCTTCAAGTCTCAAAATGCGTTTCTCCATCGTCACGCTCCTGACCGCCATCATGGCTGTGACCACTGCGGCAAGCTCTGTGGAAGCTGAGAAGCGTCAGCTTTCGGCTGTAGGTGTGAGTTGACAACGCGTAATGGGTTGAGCTAACAGATCTCATTAGTGCGTTCAGCAATGCATGGATGATCTTGGCATTTATGACGGACATGCCATTTCCCAGTGCAGGAGAACCTGCGGTGAACGCCCTTGAGAGAAAATTGGGTGAGTGGCGATGATTTAAACCATTCCTCTTCAAAAAAAATACCTCAAGACTTCTCTTTCGATACGCCAACTACGATGTTCGGTCGCTTACTCCTTCCCGTCATATAGCACCGAGTCCGCTAGACTCCCGGGGGTCGCACAAAGTTCGGGTTCTATCATTATGCGTTCAAATCAGGCGTCAGAGTAATCCTTGGCCGGTTTTTTGAAGACGCGGCGATTCCAGTCGTTAGATTGCCTAAGGTAGAGAAAGTAGACGCGGATAGGTGCAAATACCGGCTGGACTTGTCAACATCTTTCTTTGTAGTCCTAACTAAGTACCAAAACCTTGTTCAGCGATACTTTCTCCCTGCCTAGTCCAACAACTTGTTCATTTTGTCAAGATCGCTTGCCGCCATTGACAGAGCTCTCAAAGTTATCTCCTTGCTGCATGAACTGCACGGTCTATATTGATTCCGAGTGTAAATCTCGTGCGATGTGGTAGACTCTCTGTCCGTTGTCTAACCGGCCTCTTTGACAACCAATGAGGAGAGCTCCAAAGGAAATTTGTGTTCTCGAGAAAAAGGGGTATGCACCAAAGTGCATATGCCATGCATGTGGCCATTTTCAGCAAGCCGCATGTACTGAACAAACCAAACTACATGTACCTACATGGCTGGTTTCCGGACCAACATGGGCTAAGTATCGGGCCATCATTTAATACTTTGGGCATAGGTTGGTAAGTAATCCATCACCTGCATTATTGAACACTGTCTTCAGGCGATTAGTGGCCAGAAAGTCTCGACCATCAAAGACCAGATTTGTCGAGTCGTTGACGTTCTAGAGGGGTGACCTAGCGCGTAGTCTTACCGATGCGGTATTCTCACCGTAGAGTCCATCGGGCCTTTTGTTTCTAGTCATTCCATATCTCTTGCATGATCATGCAGCGCTTGCTCGTGTTGTCTGTTCATTGGTGTTCTATGAAATTCCTAATATCTTCGCCGTCACGAATCAATAATGTTCCGCGAGAGTCTAATCACATGTAAGATATTTCACAGCCAACCGTTTCGGTTGTTTGGTCGAGAGCCAGGGACGTTGGACGCGCTAATTCCCGTGAACATAGCCTAGACCCATGATATGATAACCACCATCCGGGTTTATTTGGTGGCAACCATGAAGGATCACCCGGTTTCTCGGGAGGTGGGGGCGGGGGCACGATGCAAGGGAGGCAACCAGGCCTGCCGAACCTTTTTGCCGGCCGGTATCACGATCAAGTACTTATTCTCACTGTCCCCTCTTGGCACTCACCTTCCGTTATTGTCGTTTCTCGCCGTTTTTGAGTAAACATTTGTTTCCAAACAAGAAACATCTGTTACAGCATGTGAGTGCTGTTAGCTCACCCCCAAAGAATGAGACCTCGATTTTTCCAACCTGACCACGGCCAAGTAATGGTACTCAGATTCTCAAATCAGCAGCCCCATGCCCAACCCTCACTCCATGTAGATGCCCATAAAGCCTTACCGCTTGTGACTTTGATTGAGACTCACACGCCCCGTGATCGGAAAGATCTGCCCGTCCACTCAACACGTGAGTGAATCAAGGCTAGCGTCAAGTACCGCGCGGGACGATCGAAATGAGGAGATTTCATGTCAGGATCTGCGTCTAGACCGGATGTCAGAGATCCACTGCATGCAGGTATCTTGGAACCCTTGCATAATGTCCCGCTGTGACAAAGCCTTAATTGTAACCTTACATGGTGGGCGTGCCTCACCGTTGGTTCACTCCAGAAGGGAGGCAAACATCCTGCTTAGAAGCTGAGTTATAATCACACGGCAAACACACATGTCTTGTCACCGCCCGTCGGCCGGCTCCCTCCTCATCGGGGGTCTGATCGGGTCCGCTTCGTTGGAAAACAAAAGTTCTGGTGAAGCTGGTCCAGATAGCCGCCGTTGCAGTCCCGGGCCGTTCACCTCCCTGATTGGATTTTAAGATTCACAAACATGGAAAGTGATGCTCCGCACCTGCCCGTTGGGTACTGGGTGTATTGGATGTCACGTTCTCATGGTCAAATGAACGCATTCCGCGGTTGCAACGGCAAACCGAAAGCAGCGAAGCATACGACGCTGCAAACTCCGTCGGCCGGAACTATGATGCGGAAGTAAAAAGCACCCGGTAAAACACCTTATTCTCCGATTATCGCATCAGGCTATTAAAGAATCGATGTGCCTCTTCGAAAGTTCAGGTCTTGGACAATAAGTTCTACTGCAGCATCATCCAGCCTTGATACAATCGTCTCACAAGATCAGTCCATTCATCTCAGATCCAATACCCACACCATGAAGACCTTCTCCATCGCCGTTGCCATGCTAGCGTCCCTAGTCGCTGCAGGGGACTTTAGCAAGAGTTGCACGGACGAACACGTCGACCCCGCAACCCAGGTTCTGACGGCGAACTGCAGCGCCGGTGACGGCAAGGGCACGGTTAAGTCGACTTCCCTTGACCTCAACCAATGCTTCACCTACACGGGCACCAAGATCCAGGTATGCGGATTATACACAAAATTGTATGTGCTTTACGTTGCTGACTCTCCCGGTGTAGTACAGCGGCAAAGGCCACTTGGGTGATTCCTGCAGCGACTGCTATGTCTACCGCATCGAGGACCCGGTCTACGGGCCGATTTTCGGCACCACCCGTGTTTGGCTGAGCTGCTCTTGCAACGGCTCCGAGAGTCAAATCGAACTTGGTAAACAGCCCCTCTTCTCCCCCTTAGGTCTCGGCAACCTGCTAACGATGTCGTCGCATCAGATACTACGCCCGTGTCCAACCAGTACGGAACTCTGAGCTGCACATCATGATCTACGAGAATGAGAGAGGCCTCTATCAGTTACCGCTAAACACCCTTGAAAGTGGTGGCGGCGAATCGTGTTGGAGGCTATGAATGATGTTTGACGAATCACAAAGCACGATTTGAACGACCGCCACTCTCCGCCGCTGCGCGGGCAAATGCGACGTGGCTGGATGGAAACCATGGACACTTTCTCAAAAGTTCATACCCTTCTTGTACATATTTAGTCCCTCTTGTTCCGCATACTCAGTAGCTACATTTCAATGTCTAGCATTCCGTTTCTTTCGTACACGGTACCAGGTACGATTCTTCCCCAGACTCTAAAATTCTGTCCCAGTCGACTGTCTAAATTCGTAGAAATAGTATTGCGATTGAATACATCCGAGCAGTGCTGTCAGACCATAGAGTCGACGACCACATCGAGTCATCCATCCTCACTGCAATCATGATGTGAAAGTTTCCATCTTAACGAATCAAAACTCCTTTCCTTGCATCAACCCAAAACTCCACGCTTCCGTCAATGCCGTAATCTCAAAGCAAAGCCAAGGGACTCGGCGGTCCTGCTCGATCCCCCGAACCAGACAAAGACATATTTGCCATCATTCTCGCAAGACTGGGCAGTGTCTCCCAGTTGTATTCCTCCTTCCACTGGTTGCCAGTCTTGGCCTGGATGACGAGATCATACAGATTCGCCAATTCCCGGCTGTCCCACATTCCCTCTCTCCGCTTCATGCCACGGAGAACATCGACGATCCTCCGTTCGAGGTCAACATTGTCGCAAAAGGCGCAGATGTATGCAAGCGAGGGAACAATGTCTGCCGCGAGAGCAAACATGGGCCTGGGAAGTCCTTCCCTGCTGGCCACAACCTCCTCGGCCATATCAACGAGCCCGTGCAGTTCGGCCATACTGCTATTCTTCATGGCACACGGCCCTTCTTGGGCATTGAAAATCTCCCAGCTTTTACGAGAGAAGCGAAGGGCTTTGAGCTCGTTCAGGTCCGCCGGCTCCAGTACATCCGGTAGGTTCTCCTGCAACAAATCGAACCGGCAACACCAAATGTCGAAAAGCCTTGTTGCCTCCTCCCACGCTGCCTTTTGCTGGTCCTGCACCTCTTGCGGAGGCTCCGGTGTAATGCAAGCCGAGGGGCCTGAGTGCCAGCAATTATCGGATTCGCAAAACCAGCTGTCTTCAAAGGCGTCCGAGAACGTCAACTCGACAAAGTGCAGCCGATGCCGGGCTTCGGATACGTTTTCGAACGGCGTGTTGCGCTCGTCTTCGGGTTCTGGCTGTGTGAAGTAAGATAGATCGGGGACGACCTCGTCTTCAATGAGCATAGAGGTGTCCATGCCGACGCATGTGAACATGGTTGTGATGTCGCACAACTGGTCAAAGTGTTTCTTTACCGTGTCTGCCAGCTGTCTGTCGTAGGCCGACAGGGATGAGGGGTCGCGTTGATTGAGTATGGCTGCTTGGTGGAGTGACTCGAGGACTTTGGACCCAGCCCTCAGGTGCTGGATAGCCTTGTCGTATTGACCTCGCACAATCTCGTAACAAACAAACACTAGACAGCAGATGAGCGTGATTCGAATGTTGACAGGTGATGGATCAGCCATGATCTGTATCGTCTCTGAGACGGCCTTTCGGTAGTGCCTCACGGCTAGATCGTTGAACGCTAAGGCGGATTCGGAAGGTTGTTCGTCAAAGTATGGGTTCTCAAGAAATCCCCTGTGAGCCACGCCGAGCGCAATGATGGCATGCTTTACCGAGTCTGAGTAGTAGCCCAGTGGCAGGATGTAGTTGCTCCATAACTTGGCGAGAGGTGTGGCGGTTCCGAAATCCGGGACAGTACATCGGTTGACGTGGTGGAACATCAACCTCTCGAGGGTTGTACCGGAGACGTCCCAATCTACAGGAGGCGATAGCTGCATTACTGAGTTGATAAATCGCCGCCGAGATGGTGGGATCGAGCGGGTCGAGCATGATGATGCTGGGCTCGGCCGTTTGCTCGGGAGCGAGGTCGGATATCCATCGCACTTGTGTTTGTCCTTGCTACACCGCTTACAGAACGGCTTCGCTTCATCGCACTTTACATGTCGGGCTCTGAGAACGGAATATTTGTTAGCTGCTGGAGAACTAGAGTTGTCTACGTGGAGGATGAAGCAGCACAGTCGATGGTTGTAGGGCGAGGCGGAGAAGCCTTACTTGCTGTCAATGGGGTAGGTGGCGTCAGTTGAACCAGTCTTTAATAAACTACAGTGGCATCAGTGTTGTCACAAACCATGTTAGACATCCGGTCCTGACCTTTGATGCGCTCGCCCTAGTCCGCTTGGGTTTCTTGGGTGCGGGTACCACCGAGAAGACTCCCGTACCCGGGATCGAGGTATCCAATGACATGGTCGGCTTCGGTTGCGTAGTGTGCGTAATAGTATATGCGAGCGTATCTAGGCGCATAGGATTCACTGGTAAGAGGGCAAGGTAGCCACTGACAGGCCGTCGAATGCTGAATTCAGTACTCCGTACACCGTTGGGAGTGAGGCTCTCTCGGAAATCGGGTTGTGCGGGCGCAGGAACTAAGACAGGGGATACACTTGCCAAGATTGGCGCGTTCGGGCGGCGCCCACTATATAAAGCCAACGTGTCGAATACGGACGATCGCGACCCTCGGCCGCCGTATGCCCCTGGCTGGTCCCTGCGACGTCAGCCCCTTCGTCAGAATCGACATGCGTTTGGGCGCTAGGTTTAGTCTTTTACGACAGAGCCAATCACACAGACAAAACGTAAGTTTTTACCTCATGAAATATGGGGCTGGTGATGGTGAGGCAGTTTTAAAGACTCCAAATTGTCCAAATCAAGCCCACCGAGAAGAGAAAAACAGCTGCCTAGCCGGCGTGGACCACACGGCGACGCCGATAGATTGAGTAAAACGCTTCTTTCAGCCCTACGAGGCCGAGTATCAGTCTCGTCACGTTTCTCGGGGGTTCTCAAAAGAGTTTGACTAGCCGATGATGCCCCCCCAACTCCTAGTTTCTTCCCCGTCTCCCCTGAGATGGACATACACTCTTGGCTCTCGCCCCGTGGTCCGTGGAGTCTGGAGATTCAAGTGGCCCAGTCTCAGATCTCTCTCGACAACCAACATCCCTGCCCAGGTCACATTTTCCAACGGCAAGTTGGACTCGGCATCGAGTGCCGGTCGTCTGTGCTACAATTCGGAATAACGGCGTAAGGCCGCCGCCAATTGTAGGTTAGTCTTCCCTCAAGCCTCCGAAGCTCCGTGGCTTCTAGCGCCGGGCCTTTAAATCTACAGGGAACTTAGGCCTGGAACATGTGAAACTCAAATTGGCTGCTGCCTAGAACACGAACGCTTGCAACGTAGTATCGTTGTTATTTCAAGTCTGTCTACAAACTAACGATTAGAGCTTGTAGATTGACGTTTCCTACCATTAAGCCTGGCTAGAGAGATAGCTAAAGTCGTCGGACAACGATCCCCTTGGCTGTCAACTCTATTTTTGTCTTTGGGAGTCACCTCTTAACGTAAGTTCTACTAGTGAATCTTCTCATCATTCCACATTGTGAACTAAATGCCGAAGACTTGCACCTGTTGAATGCACAAATTGGTGACTGCCGTTGGAGTGAATCAGGGGCTTCGCGCTCGCGTTCCACTGGCATCAATGTCTCCAGCTCTTGGCCCCAAAACTTACCATGCTTGGACAATCTATCTAGGATCATTGACATGCTTACCCACACTGGGTCCCCAAGACCCGTCCTGTGCCACGCTAGTTACCAACGCCGGCAGCGTCTCAACTTGACTAAACTTGGCTACGCGTCATAAGATTTCCAAGGCATGTTCTGCCCAGTTCCCGATGAGCTACGATGCGCGTTTGATGTCACGGACCGTTTCTAGCACTAGGAACTTAACGATGCGCTAAAGCAGATGCTGGATAGCCAGTCGTTTGGTTGGCATACTGCCAATAGCCGATGCGTGACGCGCTTAGGAATGTTCTGGCTTGAAGTCATTGATTGGCCGTCACATTAGGCAGGCCATGAACTTTTGTAGCTCGGGGTGAAGGTAAGTTTGCACACACGAGATCACCAAAAATGCCACAATGTATCGCCGGATCGGTTGTGGCCACGCGTACAACATGCAATGCTGAAATTTGACTCGACGATGTACGAGATGTCATCCGATCTGATAGACTGCGCCATGGAAAGAGGTCTTTTCCACGGCTTTAATTCAGGTAGAGCTTTGTATTTTGAGACACGAGCTTAAGGGGGTGCTTCCCTAGCTAAGTCTAAGCTCGGCCGTGTCAGTGTCGATCTGCAAGATTCGTCTAGGGGCTAGAAACAAGCTCTGAAGCAGACGTGCCCGATAACATGGGATGACATGGTGACACCAGCTCTCACTGGAAGGTGGACGTCCGCGCCGCGACGAGTCTCAGTGACAGCTGTAGCTTGCATGAGACACCAGGCGGTGTTCATCAGACCAAGCCCCGAGAACAGCCTCAATCAACTGAAGTAGGTCCCTTTGCTTTGATTTCACCAGATGATTCATTCGTCGATGCATGTTACTACTAAATGATAGCAGCGAATATGGATTATGCGAATAGGGACCTTGTACAAGTATTGGAAGCTTGGGCCTCTCGGCACCAGTAGATATACTGAAGAGGGATACGGATACCACAAGTACGAATATAGTAATGGCAATCGGTACAGAGCAATATGGGGAACATCCCCCGAGTTCCGCGGAGATAACCTCCAATTGGCAATAGCTTCAATATCCTGAGACTATCAACGGCGCCCCCCGCATAAGACATGCAAGTCTGTCAAGGGTCCCTCATGTAACATAAACATCCAGGGGGCTTAAGCAGCACAGGGGGAGGCTTGGGCTCGGAGGCCTCGACCCACCCGCAAAAAAAGTCCGTCCTAGAGTTCTGGTCTGACCCATGCAAACTCAGGTAAGGCGTTCTTCGAATCTTATCGTAGGAATCACATCGACAGGTTTACTGCTGAATATTGTTCCGTCAAGGAATGTTGTAAAGAATTGTTGATCCAATGGCAACGAAGATCCCTGGCCTACGTGTCTGTGCCAGCCCTGGTAAGCAGATCAATCATCTGTCGGTCGGTGCTACTCGGTCTTTTCCACACGAATCGGTCTTTTCCGTAACGGTTTGCATATAGAAATGTACCCTACCACGGTAAGCGTGTCCGAGGGGCGCGGGTCTACGTTGTGAGTGGTGTGACTGGTCTGCGGGTATCGAGGTGCACCTGGACACGGTGGTGGGTAGATGGGGCTCCAAATCGAGTCGACCATCTTAACTATGTGCATTCACCAGTTGAGGGAAATTGCGAGCTGAGACAAACCGTGAGAATCTCCTGTTCTTTCGAGGTCCGAGTGCACTTCACCTTCTTGGTTGGTTGTGGTCCTTATGGTACGCTAGTATTAAGCGTAAATCTACTCAGCCCAGTATGACAGTTGCTGCCTTGGCGTTGGCGCAAAGTCTTTTTGTTACCGTTTTCGACATGAGAATAGTTGATTCCGAGTGAAAGTTGTCAACTTGCTAGAGAGCTGTTAAGGAGCGACCTTACCTTATCAGGAGACGATCGATCTATCATTGATGCAAACCGCGACAGATGGGGTGGCCTCTCCTTGGAAACGGATAGAAACGACGCAATGCATCGAATCCCTCGCACCCTCCAGCATCAGAGATGCAAAGAGTGCGCGTGCCAAAGGGCCAAGCAAAAGGTTTGACAAATACCTGAAACCTCAAAATCGACTCGCGATAGCCGTCGATCTTGCAACCAGTTTCGAGTGCTGAAGAGCTGACATCTTACGTACCTCAGCAATGCGTTTCTTCTACACAAGCCTGGGCTTCGAAGGACTGTCACAATTGCATGATGGAAATTGACCCCTCACGAGACTCCACGCCGACGGACAGACATACTAGCGCTTCTCGGATCAAAACCGAGTCCCAGTCACCAAAGTCGGAAAACTCTGTCAGCTGAGAGACGCTGAACAACCTGACGGTTTTATCGATCGAGTCTAGATTGGATCAGCCTCGAGGAACACTGCGAGTTCTTCATGCCACTTTGCTCGTCACTCGACAGCCCATCCCGATCCAACTCTACGCTTCTACAGTGCCGCCATGTTCGACGCGGCTCTGCTGCGAGACCCAAACCTGCCGACTACCTAACAGTTCAGCATCATGAGAAATCGTCTTGAGACTGTTGTCGACCACACGCTTCTATTTTGAGAGGCAGAATCTCGCCTGTACGCGGTTGCTTGGGTTCTAAAGCTGCCAGACCCTACGAGAAACACCAAGTCCGACTGTGAATTGGTTCCAGCTACGTGGCGTCTAAGGATCGTCTCTTCGACATCATCGGCTCTATCATCTGCGGATCAAAAGGCACGGTAAACGACCAGCGACGGAGACTGCTTCGACGGCACTCTCGACTTACCCTTTTCACCTGAAGGACTATACAGCTCGTTCCAGATATCGGACCTCCGAGCCAATCCTCCAGTCTACACTCATCAAGATAGGAGAGCAAAGATCCAGTCACCAACACCCCATCTCTCACAACAACCTCAAAGACCCTTAATCAACTCTCCAACCTCCTCCCTCGAACCCTCAGGCCTCGTAACCCAACACTCCGCCCAGAACCACCCATCCCCCTCCAACCCCCTCTCATCAAGCCCCTTCCGCCTAACATCCTCAACCGCAGCCATCTGCTCCTCCCTCGAACTAAACCTCCTCTGCCGAAAAACCCTCCCCTCAACCTTCTCCGTCACAAGCCCAAACTCCGTCCTCAACCTCTCCGCGACCTCGTCAAACGAGAAGACGCGCAGCACAAACGTCACCATCCACATCTGCGAGGGAGACGACGGCGAAGATGCCCTCGCTGCGGCGGCGATGCGGGTGAAGGTTGAGGCGCCGACGTAGCCTACCCCGCCTGTACACACCACAAGCTTTACATCGTGGAGTGCTTGGCGGAGGTCCGGTGAGGGGTCGTGGGTTTCGAGGTTCTCTGTGAAGGCGGTTGCGTGGAGGCCTGTTTTTAGGGAATACGATATCGCTTCGGGTGCGACGTCTAAGCCGATTACCTCCACTTCGTTTTTCGGATCTTGCTCGCGCCGCAATCTACGTCCCGCGAAGAACCGCTCGTCGGCCTCGATCTGCTTCCGAGAGCAGAGTTTCGGGGTGGAGGCGTAGTGTTCCGCCAACGCGTTCATATCGATATCGTGGCGGAGGAGGGCGGCGTTGATCCCGTACGAAGAGCATACATCCAGGACCTTGACTTGGTTTGCTGCGGTCACAGCATCATCGCCGTTTGAGGTCGGGGATGGGTCCCTCGCGGAGATGTGCTGGAGAATGCGGCTCACAAAGGGAAGTGCCTGCTGCGGGATTTGGTATTGGAGCGGCGTCAGAGCCGCGAAGTAAGCGCGGGGATCGGGCTGGTTGTAGATTGATTTGAAGTCGGCTTTGCGCGTGTTGCTGAATTGCTCAGGCTGCTCTTCGATCGTCATCTTGTCGTTGGGTTGCGAATGCGGAATGTATGTACTGTAAAGAATGATACTAGAAGGTATGGATCATAGCTTGCTCTCTTATTTCCCAATGCTTGGTAGCAACCGAGGGAGTCTTGGCCAAGATATATCTCTTTCAATTGACATATGTCTTCTGCCAGGACATACTACAGCTCCTACGCAAGGAAGTCAGGTACAGCGACACAAAGCAAAGAGCCAAGATCAGCAACGAAAGGCACCGGCCAACCAATTCCCTCAATCTCCTCATTCACATGTGCTTAAATCAAGTTTTACGCGGGACCTGCATACGCGTGGGCTGTCACTCACATCTGTTGAACTGAACATCACCATCGCATCAGGATCTCGGTCTGCAAGGCCGAACCCTACCTACCAACCATCACAGCTCGATCAAGCCCACTTCTGCGGCGCGGGCCGCGAGGCAGTGAGCCCGCTTGCCTCGCTTCTACTAACAGCCGTTACTTTGTCGATGCAGTCTACAAAAAAATACGCTCTATGCATTAGCGGCGGGGCCAATATGCACGACAAACGAGTGGTCAATGGTCATCTGAGAATCTTTGCTACTTTGCGTATCTCGATGAAGGACCGCATCATGTAGGCTGCTGTACGTTCATACCGCCATGCGTGAGGCTGACGCGAGGCAATTGAGCGAACTTGTAACCGAGCTGCAGCAATCGGCATCAGGATGTAGTATGGGGACTTTCGTGAAGGGAGGCGGGGTCCGGTTAGAATTGGCCGATCTGGACACACTTCTGTGAAGTTTGCTGTCCAAGACCTCACTCAATTTTATCAAAGCATTGGCTAATTCTCAGAATAATTATGGTTGTATTAAATCATTACTATATCATACTATGCGCTCGTAAGACTAAGCCGTTACGTCTAGTACTTTCCCGTGACCTGGATCTGAGGGGTCTTGTAGACATCCCAGTTGTCCGCGTGCGTGGGGTTTCCGAAAGGACGGAGAGCGGCAAAGCGCAAGGTGTAGTTACCAGGCGCAATCTGCGTGCCGTTGCCCAGCTTGCCGAACCACCAGTGCTCGTGGTAGGTCGCGCCAGCGTTGCGGTAGATGTCGGTGATGGGGTAGGTGAAGGTATCGTTGGGGTCATACTGCGCCGGGTCAAAAGTCTGGATTTCGCCAGAGCCGACCCACGATGCGGCCGAACCAATGTAACCGTTCTGGCCCTCAACGGGAGGGTAGACCCACTGGCGCTCAGTCCAGCCAGCCTCGTAAATGTCCCAACGTGTCTGGCGGGTTCCCCAAAGGAGCTTCTGGAAGATCCTAGGGAAGTCCTGAGCCTCAATGCTGAGATCAAAGGAGTACGACGCCTTCTGGCTAATGGGAATATCGTTCACGGTTGAGACAGATTGCGGCCAGCCAGCCTCGTGGACACCGCCAAGGGTGTTGCGGAGATCGGCACCGACACCGGCATAGGGAACTGAGACTTGCTCGCCGTTGCTGCCCTGGATGACGACCTTGCCTCCGTAGAGCGGCAGGCCGGTCGCGTTCCAGCCAAGGTTGTCGGGGTTGTTGAAGTTAACGGACACAGTCTTAGTCTCGCCAGCCTTCAGGGTGAAGTCACGAGGAAGGCTGATGTCCGGAGTGTACGTCTTGGGGGCAAGTTGGGCAAAGGTCTTGACGCGCTTAGTTCCGGGAAGGCTGGAGGTGGCGGGGATCCAGGCGAGGGCATCCACACCAGCACCGGGCTGAACGGAGAACTTGTAGGTGACATCTGACTTGCCGTTGTTGGTGACGGTAACATCGTGGTACCGGCTGAAGTAGCGGGTGTCGTTGAGCTGGATCTTCTCAAATTCGAGCTGAGTGTTGTAGTTGAGAATCTTCCAGGCGTCGATCTGACCATTACCAACCTGGGCGGGGGGTGCGCTGTAGCCATAGTCCGTAGCAGTTCCATCGGACCAAGGCAGAGCGTAACCACTAGAGATGATGCGACGGGACAGAGCACGAGCGAAACCCTTGCCCTGGACGCTGCGACCACCCTTCTCAGAGATGTAGAGCGCGGCGACACCAGCCACGTAAGGGCAGGCCATGCTCGTGCCCGACAGGATGGAGTAGGTTCCGTCGAGGTAGGTAGAGAAGATATTACCACCGGGGGCGGCAATGTCAGGCTTTAGCTGGTTGTCGTACAGCAGACCCCAGCTAGTGAAGATGTTGGGGCGGTTTCCAGCCGGGTAGTCGAGAGCAATTGGGATCTCGGGGTTGACCGAGAAGTCAGCAGTGACGGTGGTGTTGGCCTTGATGGCGTTGATGAAGGCAGCACCGGAGTCGGCAGTGATCATGGCGATCTGGCTGTCAGTGTTGCTGGTGCTGGGAGTCGTCATGGGCGATGCGTTGTTGTAAATGAGGATGTACTTCGCGCCCAGGGCAGCAAGGTTCTCTTGCTTCACCTGGAATGTGCAGGTTCCTCTACGAACCAAGGGAATCTTGCCCGTCAAGTCGGGGCTGCCCGCCGGGTAGGGCGTGCAGCCATCAGCGGTGGCACTCGTATCGGTGTTGAGGGCGACAATCGGCCAGTCGATAATGGTGTTGGGAAAGTAGGTTCCCGCAGGAAGGTATCCGACGCGAACGGTCTCGCTGCCGCCGTAGGTAGCTTCGAAGGGGATGGCTGGGAAAACCTCCGTCTCGACGGAAGCCACAGCAATGACATTCTTGCCGGACGATCCAGAGCTACCGTAGAAAGGGCCGCTGGCACCGCTGTTTCCAGCGGAAATGGTGACGACGATGCCCTCATCAACCAAACGGGAAGCAACTTCGGCCCAAGCGTTGTTAGACCAGCCGTTGGAGCCACCGATACTGGCAGTGATGATGTCGACACCGTCGTCGTACGCGGCAAGGAATGACTCAATGAGAGTAGCCGTGTCGGTAGACGCCGCGTTGGAGAAGACCTTGTAAGCGTGAAGAGTGGCCTCGGGGGCGACACCGACCCACGAGTCAGTCTTGCCAGCGACGATACCAGCAACGTGGGTACCGTGGCCGCGGGTGTCGAGAGGATCTTCATCGGGCGCCTTGGGACCGCTGGCCGGGTATGAACCATCACCGACAAAGTCGTAGCCATCGGCGACCTTGAAACCAGGGCCGAAACCGCCACCCAGCTGTTATGTTGTAAGTGTATGTTCGCATTCACGATGGGCGCAGCTCCAACTTACAGCAGGGTGCTTGTACCAGATACCGGTATCAACAACACCAACCTTGACACCCTTACCAAAGATGCCCTGGGCGTGAAGCTTGGCTACACCAGTGGCATTGTGTGTCGAATATGTGGGAGCATCCTCAGGCGCAGCGGCCTTGGGTTCCGTCGGCGCAAGCTTGATCTGCTCGTTGACCCAGACGTTGACGACGTCTGGGAGCTCCTGCAGGGTGTCGAGAGTGAAGGTGTCAGTCTCGATGCTGGCACCGGAGAAGACGTTGCTGGCGAACTCCTTGACGACGGTGATGCCGTCTGTGGAGGCGACATTTTGACGACGAACGCGAGCACTGGAACCCTAGAGTAAGAAAGACGGTGAGTGTCAGCTGGGGACTACAACCTGTGGGAAGGCTTTCTTCGGGCAGCAGCCACGCGCAGCGGGCACTCACAGGAGCGTATTCGATGATGAAGCTCTTGGCGATGAAGGTGGGAGTCTCCTTCTCATCGCTGGCTTCTTGACGAGGGCCGAGGGCCGCAACGCCTCCAAGGTGGAGAGCGAGGGCGAAGGCGGAAACAGTGGCCGAGATGCGCATCTTGCCGGGTGCTGGGTCTTGCCTTGGTATGAACGAGGGTGAGAGAGCGCAAAGCTACCGAAGGAAACCATGTCAAGATGGCATCGCGGCGGCGGCGTGGTTTAAGTAGTCCTTATCTCGCGCTTCTCGCTGACGACCAGATGCCCGTAAGGTGGCGTCGCCGATTCCGGGAGGCAGATGCCCATGAGCCCATGCCTGCTTAGCAGTGAGGCCAGTCTTAAGCCCGGCATAGCAAGAGACGTTAAGAGAGGTAGTACGAGGAAGACGAAGCTACCTTGCTCATATCCCCTGTTAAAGACGTGATATCCAGGATTCAGAGGCTTGCTCATTGGTCAGAGCTACCAAGTTGTACGCAGCTAGCTGCATCTGTCTTGTGTGCGCATGTTTAGTTGCATGGCCAGGTGCAGAGTCGCGTTGAAAATCGAGTGCTTTGCTGCAAGGTCCAAAGACTGGGGGATGGGGAAGCCGAAGCATAGAGAGACAGAAAGAGAATAGGCATGCTCGCCCGGCGGTTGAATGGCGCGACCCATGAGGCGCGGGCCGTGCTATCTGGGGCAAACAACGAGAGTGTAATTTCGCAAGGGTCCAGACGGGCGAGTCGCAGTCTTGGACGTTGATGCCGGTCAATGGAGGTTGTTCTTTCGGAGAGCCGCCAAGACTTGGATGAGCTTCCTCGTTGGGATGCAGTGGATGGCACGGCGCAGAGGATGCAGGCCAGGCGGGGTCCAATAGTGCGAATGGCGTGCGGTACGGGTGCGCCGTTCGTTGGACACCTACCGCCTTGAGATGTCCTCCACAACCCGGCCGTTGTGCATGCCAAGAGGTGGTATCAAGGCCTAGGATTGTCTTGATAGCGTGGGTGGTGGATGGTCTGTGTCTGGGTGCAGTTCGACAGTTCAGGGCAGAGCACTTGGGCCAGAACTGGGCACGGGGGGCATCTCGCCAGACGATCCTTTGAGAGAACTGCTTCGTAGCCAGCACGTATTTCGTCGTCCGATGTTATCGAACTAGACACCGCGTCGACGGGTTGATGAAGCTATCATGTGTGGCAAGGCAGCCAAGAGGTTGTACTTGTTGCTTCAAGGGCACATGGCAATGGTTATGTGCCACCCTGTGGACCTGTCGCACTCCAATGCAGGTTCAGGCACCGGTCCGGTATGCTGCTATTCATATCTGCGTACGGATATTATCATTGTCGCATAGTCGAGACATTGACAATAAGAAAGCAGCCATCGCTACTGACACGGGAGTTGGTGACCGATGTCGTTGAAGAGAGCTGGGCCGCATCGATGGTGGCGTCTTTGGCGTTCATGGCGTTCATGGCTTGAGGATGTTGCAGAAAAGACGCATACAGCCGCATGGTCGCCGAAACAAAGTTCCCAAAGTTCTGTTCTACTTCCATAGAGGTATTTCCCCGCTCGTTCAGGTACCGGTGAGAATCATAGGCGGATCCTGTCGTGATACATGAGGTGGTCCAAGGAATATGAGGAAGAAGATGGGGAGACAAGGAGACGGCGGCGGGTGTCACGAGGGAAGGCGCCTGTTAGCGCCATTCGTAAATGCGATAAGCTGATGGCCCGTGTGTTCTCGCTTAGCCTGTATTAGCTAATGGATCCTTGCCTAACCTAGAAAGGAAGCTGAGCGGTTCAAGGATCCACTTGCCCGGAGCCCATGATACGTACCGGAAAGGGGTACCTCACTCAGTCCCTCCAGGTTCTCTCTTCGTCCTCCTTCAACTGAACAACATCAAATCGATTTCTTCTTCTCCTCTGACTCCAGTATAGAAGAATTGATTGTCGGAGAAACAATTTTTACCATAGGTTGGAAGCCTATTGAGGCATGGTAAAGGTCCAATAGGTCTTACGTTCCACAAGATATCCTCAATGCCAGTCACCGCCGCATTTGCCCGATCACGAGCAGTCGGGCAACGAGAGGAACCAACAATTTCACCCGCATGCGCATTAAGATTTGAGCCAAGTCTGGATCCTCGACCTTTACCAGCAGGCAGGCAAGCAAACAACTCTACAAGTAAGAAACATTCATCTGCAGCGTCACATCGTTCGCATCCTATGTGCCTATTCCAGCTTCGCCCCCCACTCTCCATCGCGGAGTACTTCGCCTGGCAACAGGAGAGCTGCGCCCTCCCAGGCACGCCTTACGCCCAAGATCCAAGACTCCAAGCCCGTCAGCTAATCAAATGATCGACTCATTTGCTGACGCGAGGAGCTGTTGGTTCGAATGTCTCTACCCGATGAAGATCAGCAAGCTCCCTTTCTCCTCTCCGCCAACGTCGCCGGAGCGGCACCCCGGGCGGGCTTCAAGGGCACATCCGAGGCCGAGACACCCTGCACCATTGCCTCATCTGGTCTCATGCTGACGGCATGTCGCGTCTCTTGAATATCCTGCAACTTATTCCTCTCAAACCAGTGCGTAACAGAATGATGAAGGTCTCGTACGCATATCCACCATGCTCCATCCGGTCCATCGACCAATCCAGGCTGCCTAAGTACCTATTTGGTGACTAATGAGCACATTTCTCTGGATATGGGCGCAAAACCCAAACGCAAGATCTAGGACCACATAGGAAGGTATTCGAAGCACACCAGAGTGACCAGACGAACTTGGAGCCTGGAGAATGTTAAAAGAAGTTCAACAAGAATGGCACTATCGAATATCCGACATTATGGTTGCTATCCCGATCGGGGAGGTAGATCTGCACATGTTCTAGAAGGAGGGGCGGCCGGGGGTGCGCATGTGCTGGGCTACCACATGTGCAAGCCACGCAGCCACCAGGAACCACGGCGCGATGAGGGGCACGAGGGGCTACAGAGTCCAGACATTTCGTTCTCGTTTACAAGGCGCGAGCTTTCGGCGTCCTTTTGATGATGACCTTGCTTCCGAAGCAGAACTTACTGCAGCTGCAGGATACTCACTCATCCACACTCGTCGTGGACTTTTGAACCTCATTCTAGTGGCGTTGTCAGATTGATACTGTTCTCTCCAAAAGTTCTGGGAACGCTGCATCTTTGAATACTAGCAGACGGAAGACAGAGAGATGGGGCAACTGGCTTCTCCAGGGGCTATGCCGAGGTCGGAAGCTGGCAAAAGCACACCCTCGCATTGCGGCTGAACACCCCACGATCTTTTGCGCTGCACATCCTCTCGATCTAGGCCCCTTCAGTCATGGCCAGCATCACAATACTACACCAAAGTCACATGAATTCCTGGGACGAATTCCCTCCTTGATCCTCTTTTCGATAACTTGGACTCCACCCGGGGACCGGTGCCTGCGCGGCCCTCCGCTCTCCCGCCGTTCGGTCCGGCACCTTTCAGATCAATTCTCGGCGTGATCGCAGAGCGGTGATGAGCGGATAGGGCAAACGATCTCATAGGTATTTCCAAACTATTAACAGGCGCTTGCCTTGATTAATCAAAAGTCATCTCTGCCATTATGTCAAACTGATCAATTTCATCCGCCCAAGGAATGTGCCCCTGAGCGCCCATCCTCCCAACAGAGATAGCAGCAGCTTTGTTCGCGCGAACGACGGCACTCTCAATATCCCATTCTCCAGATGCACTGGATATCTGACGCACATAGTCGGCCGCATACGCACCTGTAAAGGTGTCGCTAATCACTTGTATTAGTCTGTGACATCATTTGAATATAAAGAGAATGGACCACCCACCCTGCTCCGGTTGTATTCACGACGGAGACGGGATATCCAGCACAGTGCCCGGAGACCTTTTTATCGGCGTAGAAGGCACCTTTTGCACCCAATGTGATAACCACGTTCTCGACCCCAACGTTCAGGAAGTCCTGGGCAATACTTGGCCAGGTGCTCTCCGTCACATTATCCGGCATACGGCCGGACATTATCGCAGCCTCGAACTCGTTGACCACGAGATGCGTGATGAACCTATAAAGTTCGGGGTTGGTCGGGCTCGCTGGCGCGGCATTCAAGCAGAATGGGATACCAGCGTGACCAGCGGTTTCAATCATCGTCTCAACGACCTCCTTATCGATTTCCATCTGCGCTACGATCAAGTTCGGCCATTCTTCGCCTCCAAATTGCTCAGGGTAGCTGAAATCCTCCTTCTTCCAGGCCGCTGTTGTCCCCGGGCTAAACACACACCGACTATCGTGGGTTTCTTCATTGATCATGACGACGCGTTTGCTGGATGATAAGCTTGGCACCTCTTTAAGGCCAGAGACATCGATATCGTTCTCGAGTAGCCTCTTCTTAAGCCCCTCTCCGTAGTGATCCTTACTAGCCTTGCCAATCATCTTAACTCGAATGGCACCATCGCCCCTGCCTAGCGATGCCTTGTGGTGGCAGGAGCGGTATGTCGAGAGCGCTGTGTTTGCACCCTTTCCGCTCAAGGCTTTCTCGGAATGACTTGCTCTAATGCTCTCTCCTGTCTTTGGAAACCGGGGTACGATCATGATGTGATCAACGCCCAGCGCCCCAATAACTGCGATGGTCTTCATCTCGGGTCCAATCCTGTAACTGTCGATCGTAAGGGTGTTTGATGTTAGCACGTCGGGAATCGTAAAACCGGCCGGTCGTGACGGTGATGGTTATTAATAGGACTGGAGTGTTTGAACAGAAGACCCTCCTTCTTTGTCTGCCCGTGCTCATATCGACCCGGGGATGTCCATGTCTGCGCGGCTCAAAGAAATTGCGACCTCAGACCTGGATGGGACACCTCCAACATGACTCCCGGACTAAGTTCAATACCAATGCAGAGCCCCTTTCTTGTAGTCAAAACTTCTGTCCATCACGGTGTTGATGTCTCCCCATATTGGTAATGTTCGTGTTACGCGTATTTTCCCTAGCCCCTGGATGCCAATCGCCCAGAGCTCATCTGACCGACTCCTTACCGACTCAACAAGCTCTTGGCTGAGTCTTTCCGTTACTTTTTGCGATGATAACGGTAAAGTCAGGGCGCTCGCTCACTTTCCATTCAACGCTTCCCAATTGTGACTTACGAGACCACCCCATCCTACCTCAAGTACTAGTCTCAATGAATGGAATACTCTGCGGTAGGTGGTGTAATGTGTCAGACATGAGGCCTTATGATAGTGTATTGAGGCAACAACTTATAGCCGTCGGGCAATCGAAAGATGGTTCTCCAAGGAGCGGTGTGGCATCTTCATGTTGTTGCTGGACAGCTTTTAGTACATTACATACGTCGCCTACCAACACTATAGAGAGTCAACAAGTCAACACCCTTTCCGATCATTCAGTGACGGCCTGCTATTGGGCTCAATCAGGGAAGATCAGTATATGAGAGCCACTTAGCTATGCAACACGGTAGCACTGTTCATATGACACCAGACCTAGGTACGCCAATATCATACCTTAGGCTAAGAATGGTAACAATACATGCAAGCAGCAACAAGGCTGTGATACCTGCCAAGACAGGTCACCTCTGATAGCCCACGGCCTGCTCCCTGCTGCAGAACAAAGAAGGGCAAGTTTATTTACACTACAATGCAGAGCCTCATGTAGCCAACAATCGGCCAGGTAAGATACGCAGCTTTGGCGGTTAAGATTCACCGCCAGTGCTTTCCTGGAAGCTGACTGGTCAAGTGTTACAAAAGGAGACACTAACGCAGGCTCGTTCACACTCCGATACAACGTCCATACAGTCTCTAAACAGATTCCGGAGGCCAAATTTCCTGAATGGCGGCTCTTCTGATGACCTGAGCACCATGGCTTAAGCTAGATGGTAACATGAAAGTCAAGCCCGCTGCTCATCGTATTTCAGCCAGCCTGTAAGATCGGACACGGCCAAAAGATTTGACAGACGTTGTCTCTTCAATTGGCTCTCAACTTAGTTGCAAACATTACCACCACTTCACAATATGATAATGAATGATTAATAGTCTAAAAATGATGTGGGGGGGTTTTTTTTTTTTTCTTTTTTTTTTTTTTGGTGGGGTTCTAAGACAAATAGTAAGAAAAACAGTATTTCGGCCTTCGAGAGGACGAGAAAGGGAGGGAAAACATTATATCTATAGATATTTCAGGGAAGGAAGAGAAAATCATGAAATGATGAAGAACGAAAAGACTAGAAAAAGGAGACTGAGAAAAGTAAATCGACGCGGGCCTTGCATACCATGAAGGAGCATATGAGTGTATGGCTACGAAAACGCCTCGATCTCCTCAGACCATGGAATGATATCCTGTGGCGCACCGTCTCTCGAACCAACAAGCGCAGCAGCTGCACACGCATTTCTGACTAACTCACCCAAAAAATCTGAATCCACAGCCCCTTTTTTTCCAGCTCGATGCTCAGTAATACCCGCTGCGAATGTCGCCGTGAATGTGTCCCTTGTCGCCTGTGTCAGTGTTGAAGTTGGGAGACATTGAAGAGGGAGAAAAGCTGCTTACCTTTCGATGGCATTATAATTGCCTTTGCGATGATTCTCCTTGAAATCCCAAAGGTATGCACTCGACCCCCCCTTCCAGAAGTAGGTAGCTTTCGTGTGTCCTTTGGTTATAATCACATGCTCTACACCCAACCCAACCAATTCTACACCCCTCTCAAACATTTTTTCCAACTGGCTGCATTGAGGGAAAATCTGAAGTTCCTCCTCAGTAACCACAAGATAATTTATGAGTTTCAACTGGTCCTCGGTAATACCATAGGAAGGCACCTTGCCCAAGCAGACCTTCATACGCTCGCGTGCAGCAGTCTTGAGTATGTAATCAAAGACCTTCTCTTCAAATTCTGTAGAAATGACGACCGCACCTGGTATGAAGACCTTATGTACGCGTTTGTCAACGGATTCGGGAATGAAGCTGAAATTTTCCATCCATTCGGTGGATGTAGCCAGTGTTTCAGCAGGATTCAACCGAATTCGTTCCTCTCCGTTGGGTCGTATGAGGTGGATGTTGACGTTGGTTCTCTTGAAATAGCATTCTTTGATGCTGTCTGTATTGGGTCCCATTGTCCCCAGTAGAGACTTCACCATATGGCCATAATGGTCCCTCCCGACTCCACCCTGCACATGGACGTCGATTTTGGTCAAGAGGTTTCTGCGATTATCGGTTCTTAAAGCATTCACCCGTCCCTTGGTGTAGCAGGAACGATGTGCTGCAATTGCGGTGATTGCGGAACTTCCCTCCACAATTTCGTGGTGGAATTCTGGCTTCTCTGGGTCGACGCGTATGTTTAACTGGAAATCATCTCCGAGGGCTACAACCCTGTAAGTATGCGATGCCGCGGCCATGCTGCAGTTTTGAAACTGGAATCGATTCGTAGTGAGAGGATGATAAAGGTCAAGCTTTGTGGTCGTGGTGTGGTTTCTTATGGAAGCAAGGGAAGGAAACACCAGATGCTCATTCTTGAGTGTCTACTTATAGAATTGAAACAAACAGCACAAGTGAACAGAAGATGCCCATTCATCGATATGACTTGTGGGACTGGGATGTGTGAACAGAAGAGGTTCATTCTTTGACGATACTTACAGGATTTGGACGGGTAAACAGAGGATGTTTGCTCCCGAGTGTTTGCTACGGAATTGGGGTAAAATGCTGAACAGAAGATGCTCATTCTTTGCCTGGCCCCGCGTACCGCATCGATCCCCTCTCGTGTTAATATTGTCTCCTATGTTGAATGTTCTCTCCCATTTTCAAGGACTGTCATACCAGAACATCTTCTTTATTAATCAAAATCATTCGCTTCCTACAGTGATGCCTCTGCCAAGACCCATAGCTACCTGACAGGATCCCTCGACCGTCCCTGATTCTCAATTGCCCACAGCTCACCGAACCGACTCCCCTCCGTCTCAACAAGCTCCTTGGGGCTGCCCGTCTCCATGACGCGCCCCTGATCCATGACGATCACCGCATCAAAGAAGTCCATCACCATGTCTAGGCGATGCGACACCATCACAATCGTATACGTCCTAAACTCCTCCTTGATAATCTCCTGCATCAACCTATCCGTCGCGTGATCGACGCTGGAGCTGACCTCATCCAACAACAAGATCCCGCCGCCGCGCCGCTTGAACTTGGCGTCTTTGACCCGGCGTCGCAGAATCGCCCGCCCAAGGCTGAACAGCTGCTTCTGTCCCGCGCTAAGACTGTCTGCGCTCATGGACTCGCGTAGGCCGCCGCGCTCTTCGACAAAGGTGCCGAGTTGCACGGCGCGGAGGACTGAGAAGCACTCTGCGTCCGTGGCTGCGTTGAAAGGATCGATGTTTGCCTTGATGGTGCTGCCATCGGGGAGGAATACGGCATCTTGGGGCACAGAGATGATGCGGCGGCGGAGGGTTGAGCGGTCGATGCGGTGGAAGGGGATGCCGTCCATCTCGATGTTCTTTGGAGAGGACGATACCGGGTCCAGAAGCCGGAGGAGGAGAAGAATGAGTGACGATTTGCCGCTGAACAAACGAGGTCAGTATTCATTCACTTCGTATAGTACCCTCAGGTAGCCAGAATGATCCGAAAAGTCGCTTACCTGCCGGTTCTGCCACATAGGGCAACCTTCTGGCCTGGCTGAATGGAGAAGTTGAGGTCTTTCAGAGCGAGATGCGGAGGAGTCGTCGCGCCATCTGATGTTGCTTGCTGTTCATTGCTTTTGCATAATGTCAGCGCCGTCCACAAACGGGTTGGGCTCAATTTACTTGTATGAGGCAGAGACGCCGTTGATCTCAATGCGCCCGGTCTCAGGCCACTCTTCGGGCGGCTCGATATCCTCACCTTCCAGGTCTTCAGGGCTAACCTTCTCGGAAAAGGTCTTGATACGAGAAACGGCACCGATCGAAGTCTCGAGCTGGGTGTAGAAACGGACGAGTGATGAAAGGGTCTCGCCCCACGACATCAGAGTGACTAGGGAGGCACCAGTGAAACCTGAGTTGGCTCGGAGCTGGGTGGCGAGAGTCACAAGAACGACGGCCAAACCGGCCACCATGAGCTGCATGGTAACGACGAGCCATTGCTGGATCATGGCGAGTAGATATGCCGGTCGTTGCGAGGTATCCAGCATGTGCTGGTTGTGAGCAATGTCCTTGTGTGCCCAGCCAAAGGCACGTATCGTGGCGACGCCCTTAATGGTGTCAAGGAAATGCGTGCTAGAAACTGTCAGTCAGATACTCTTCAACCGCCTAGTCTTTCGTGTACATACTACAATGGGCTTTTGGACTCGAGATCCAGGAGTCGTAGTTGGCGGGAAGTCCGAAGATAGAATTTCTGGATGATCCAACAGAAAGCAATCAACAGAGGGTAGCTAACGGCCATGTAGGGGGACGCAACAGCAACCACTGCTCCCATGCCGATTGACTCGAAACCGGCCAGCACAGCATTAAGTAGCGCCATCGGTAGCTCGTTGTCGATCAGTGTCATGTCCTGGGAGAAGAGATTTGTGATGACGCCAGAATCTGTTGTTGTGAAGAATGTGAGAGGCGCGTGGATGACAGTCTTCAATGCTTGCTGATGTAGGATGGTGCCGGAGGAAGTGGTCATGTAGATGATCAAGGCAACACCTGCCACCATGAGAGAAACGAGCTGCAACGCCTTGAAGAGGCCGAACAATCCGACGTAGTATCCGCTGCTTTTGTGAAGGGTATCTTCGGCCCAGTACTTCATCCAGATCGTAGGAAATTGGTTCCACACGGAGTACGATGCGGAGAAGAGAACGAATATGATGGTTGATGTTAAGCTCAGACTACGGAAGTAGTGGGCATAGACCCTCACGTCTCCCGTCTGTCTCGACTTCTCCATCATCTCGTCGGCAACGGCCGGAGCCCGCTTCGCTTTCGGAGGTTGACCGGTGATGGGTTTATTGGAAGTCTCAGACCCGAAGTCTGAATCGGTATCAGAGTCTGTGGCCTTCACCCCAAGACTGGCAACATACTTCTTATCGCGCATCAGGTCGGCAAAAGTACCTTCCTCGGCAAGAGTGCCATCCGTCCCCAAGGCGATGATGTGATCTGCCAGTGGCAGGTACTTGATCGCATGTGTGCAAAGTACTGCTGTTGATTTCCGTCGGCGAATGATACCGTCGAGTCCAAACACCCTTCGAAAGACTTCGGACGCTGTGTCATTGTCAAGCCCGCTTAGGATGTCGTCGAAAATGAGGAGATCGCTATTCAGGTACAGGGCACGCGCTAGTGACACACGCTGCTTCTGTCCACCGCTAAGCATGATCCCGTTGCTTCCAATCTTCGTATCGTCACCATAGGGGAGAAGCAGAAGGTCCGTCTGGAGCACACATGCGTCGACGATCTCGTCGTATCTGGCTTGGTTGAAAGTCGACCACCCGACAATGTTGTCTTTGATGGAACCGTTTGACAAGAACGGATTCTGCTCGCAGTACCCGATGGCAGCGTTGCGTGATGGCACAGAGACCAAGCCGGTGTTGAATGGCACTTCACCTAGGAGAACCTTACACAGAGTGGACTTTCCTGATGCTACAGGCCCTACCACGAGGGTGAGCTGAGCGGCCGGGATAGAGGCCGTGATATTTTGGAGCACCATCTTATCCGCCGTCCAGCCGAAACTGCCATCAACAAGAGAAATCGCTGACCTTGAGCTGCTGAATTCGGAGTCTTTCCGATCCGGGAACGTCTCCAGGGAAATGTCATCCGAGTCGTCGCGAAACGGGCTCTCCTCGGACGACCTCTCCTGGAATGCCGAAGGATGGGCAGATTGCCGGAAATCAATGCGTGATTCTCCTTCAATGTACTTTTGAATCCGATTAAGACAAGTAAAAGCCGCGATGATGGTCGGAACAGACTGGAAAAGCTGGCCTAATGGGCTGTTGAGAAGGACCAAGAATGAGAAGGATGTGAAGATGGTCGTAGTATCCAGACGTTCTTGCGCGAAGACGAACGTAATTGCGGGAGATAGCATGCTCGGAGCCAATGCAGCAAGCGCCGTGACGATGATCAGCCAGCGGAATTGATTGCCGATGCGCATCTCCTCCACGCGCATTCTCTGGACAAACTCTGCGACAGGCTGCGTGATGCCGGAGATGCGTAAGTACTTCATGTTGGAAATGACATTGGCAGTCAGTCCAACGCGCTTCTGAATCTGAGCCATCCAGCGAGACTGGCGCTCACCGGTGAACTTGGCTACGGCAGCGGTGACGCCGGTGCACACGAGAATGACAATGAGAGGCGCGACGAAGGCTGTACCGAGCTGGCCCTGTAGTAGCCAACATCCAAGTGCAATTTCGATAACGTTGGCCCAGATTTCGTGCAGACTGTAGAAACCACGGACGATACGCTCGGTGTCAGTACTCATGAGAGTCACTGCCGCCGCATCCCCGGTGTCTGTGAGCGCGGCTTCGGTGGTCTTTTTGTAGATAATTGCTGATAGGCAGCCCCGAGACATGTACAAGGCTCGCTGCTGAAAGTAGTAGTACAGAGCTGTGGAGACGGCGATCCCTGTATAGATCAGAACAGCAGCTCCGATAAGACCGTAGCTCATGTTATTTGACGCATTGTCATCTTGCAGGTACTCGAGAAGAGTTTGGATGAAGAAGGGTTGGCTGAAGCTGAATCCGATGAGGGCGATCCGTGGGGCGACAGGCAAAAGTAGAGGGACAGCCAACGCCTTGGCTAGGTCTTTTGCGAGCCCGTGGTTTTTGCCGCGGTTCTTGCCCTTTTCGAGTTCTTGAGCGAGAGTAATTTGCATCGTCTCGGCTATCATGCCACGGTCGAGAGCATACAAGTCGCCGATCTTTAGGACGTTGCGATAACCGTGGAGGAAGAGGCGATTGAGCCACCAATAGACGCCTAGACTGAACAAGCCGCTTGTCTCCTCCGGGCTATGTTCTTCGGCGGTCCAGCGAATCCATCGTGATTTCCTCTGGGCCTCGATGATGAGGATGGCAAGCTTTATCACCAGCGAGGCCGTGAACAGTCTTGCGAACAGTTGTGTTGAGAAAGTCCTAGCTACCAACCATGACGTCCTCGTTTGAGCAATGTCAAAGAGAATCTGGAGAAAAACGTAGCCGGTCAAAAGCAACGAGGGCCTAGGTGCTCTGGAGTGTTCGGCATACGATAATCCGACCATGAAAAGAGCGGCGAGGAAGCCGAGAGCTGAGGCCGAGGCGGCAAACCCATCTATGCGCGAGCCACTGGAAGTTGTCTGTAGAATGAGAATTGCGAATTGCAGCGTTGCAAATACTGTTATGATGGCCTAGACGAAGGGAAATTTAGAACCAAGTCTCAGATGAAGTTTGCCCCCATGGACTACTGTCACCTACCAATTTTAGGGTTTGAAATGTTTTGGCACCAACGATGCGCGGTTTGCGAGCAAGGTAGGCAACGCGCGGAAGTGAGAGAGCGATAAAAACGGCTGCGGGGATGATGGCTAAGAATATCCTCTCGAACCGAAGAGTAAAATCAAAATCACCGCGGCAGCCTTGAACACTAGGCCCGAGGGAGTCGTCGTTGAGACATCTCGAGCTCATTGTTCAGATCGGTCTTAGCAGTGAGCGTTGATGTATGTAATGGCTCGTCAAGGGTGCGCTATTCGCTGAGAATGCCAGGGGCCAATGCTGGGTCAAACTCAATGGCTTGAATGAGTGTGAGATTTGTTTGACGGAGAAGGCAGGGCTGGACAATCCGAAAGCTATGAGAAACCGACGAGACTTAATCGATCAATAAAGAGGCTTGTCAAACAAGCTTAAATGATCGCACCCCAACAATGACCGGGCGAGCCACGAGGTTGAGCTTACTTCTCGGGCCCGGCGTTGATGCCTGTTGTTGACTCACGTCAGGCGACATCTTTTCTGATCTGACCAACAAGTTTGCGCAATCTTTGCCAAGTTGACGCGGAGCCTTAGCGAAACATAGCTGCTTTGCAAGTATCAGAGATGAGCTACGAGTCCATGTCGTCGTGTCGGCGGCAAAGATTGAGAACGTAAGCACTGAGACTGCCCTCGCCATCATTGGGAGGCCTTTGGTGAGCAAACGCCATTGTACCCAGAGAGTCGGCGGGACAAAGTGCCGATTCATGTCAGACTGCAGCGATTGCTGAGCTCGTACCGGGTACCAGCCGACGCGCCATGTCGAAAGAGGAAGGTCGAATGCATTCAAATTCTTGCTTGGTGGTTTCTCCCATGGAAGATGGAAGCTAGAGGATAGGACGGCGCGGCCAACAAAAGTTCTGCATTGAAGGAGACGCGCGGAGGCTCTAATCTCTTCGGACCGCCTCCGACTAGGACACCGTAAGTTGGAAACATGAATGCTCGAACTTGACTTTCGGGGTTCAATCTTCGCCAGAGTAAGACCGGAGTCTCCGTATACGGTATTGGGGGTTCGCATCTCAAGGCCATGCCAGATCGATGGGTAGGATTACGATCCTTGCCAAGCACATCTTCGCCGCGAGGGACACCCTTGGTCGGCCGAAAGAAGGGGTATATGATATCCACATCGCCGGCCGTTGAAGTCTGGCGGGCTTGCACTGGATTACTTGGTGTTTTGGGGCAATATCCACAGCTACTACAGCTGATGACGACTGGTTCGAAAATTGCTGACAAGTCGACACCCGTAACAAGAATTAGCGAGAAATAAGACTGCAAGATAGTCAGGATAGACGCGTTGACTTGGTGCAGACGACACTTTCGCAACCACGAATCTGGTGACGAGTCCAACAGCGATTCATTTGGAGCCTGTTGCTGATCGTCGCATGCTGACTGGGGCAGAAGAGTTTGGGCAACTTCGACATCTGTTAACAGCAGTAAAAAGAAGAGTCATCCCAGGGTACTCTGCGGTCATCGTCTGTCTGATGTCAGTTGCTGCACGGCATTGGTTGTTGCACGAGGCAAAGCGGACAGTTGCGAATTCGAAGCTTTGAGAAAGTTGGTGGGGTTGAGCAGTGCGGGGAAATTGACCGGGAATATTCAACGTTGATTACCTAATGTCCCATGGGTCGGATGTTATTATGTAAGAACTCGGGAAGTCAGCACAGCCACTGTGGAAGATCACCAGCCTCAACCTCACGCCATACTTCATCCATGACAAGATCTCAAGCCACGCCAACTCCTAACGTTTCTCCCAGAACAAAGAGTCTGAGTGTTAACAGCTGGATGCAGCTGGCCTCCTCCCTCCAGCCAAGAATCCGAACCCGAACCGAGCTGCTCGCGTCGTATTGCTGCTGCAGATTCCAGTACCGCTGTGCAGCTGCCAGCACACTGCAGAGCACAGCACATGCACAGGCAGCTTCCGCTCGGCCTCGCAAGCTGAAGCTGATCCATCCAAACCTGCTGGGTGTGCCTGGAAGCATGTTGTCATCTCCTCCGGCCGGCACCGCTGTCCGACCCTCGGAGCACACAGGATCGGCCACGCTGCCAACTCCCCAACAGCCTGCCAAGCTTCAGCGTCAGGCGATGCATGATTCCAAGACCGAGGCAATAGCCATCTCCAACCAGACCAGGCTAAGCCGAGCTGACCTTGGACTTTTGTGCTTCTGAGGTGGACTGATTATAGATCCAAGAACGTAAAACATTAAAAAGGGCCAACAATTCCCAAGGGGTTTGCAGAATTTGGGCACACCGTCACGTACCATATTGAAACCTAACAATCACGAACACCAGTCATACATAGACACGTCAGGTCTTTGGATTCACCAACAACTTCTAGGTTGGAACAGGGTTCATTGTCCACCGCTTATTCACAGAAACATAAACACGAGCACCCCCTCGAAGAACCGAACATTGGATCACAACCACCCAGGAGGAACTCATCGAGACCAAGACAGTTGCCCTCAGGAAGAACAAATCATCGATATACCTGGCAGGCAACCCCCCCAAAAGACCACAAAAAACGCCCAGCATGTGCATCGTTCTACTCACCACCGCCCATCCCGACTACGCTCTCATCGTTGTCGATAACCGGGACGAGTTTATCCTACGCCCAACGTCCCGCCCGCACTGGTGGACTCATCCTTCCGGCGCTACTGTTCTCTCTGCCCGCGACCTTCAGAGAGCGGAGAAGGGCACCTGGCTCGGCATCACCAAGACCGGCCAGCTCGCAGTCCTCACAAACTACCGCGAGACAGATACACAGGATTCCAAACACCCCATCCACGCTGCCCGCAGCCGTGGTGGCATGGTCACTGCCTGGCTTGGTTTCGACCCCACAGAGCCCGCTTCAACGTCGGTGAATCACCTCGTCAAGGATGGTGGTGTCAAGGGCGTCGGTGGCTTTTCCATGGTAGCAGGCAAATTGAAACGAAAGCGCGGCACCGACGAAAAGCCCGAACATGCGCTCGAGGGTATCGCCATCATCTCCAACCGGTGTGATGACCTGCAGGACGTACCGTGGATCGGAGAACAGCGGGGCGAGGTTTACGGTCTTAGCAATACCGTGTACGACGACCCCAAGCCGTGGCCCAAGGTTGAGAATGGAAAACGTCTGGTCAAGGAGGCCATTCAGGAAGCTGTTACGGACAATCTGAATGAGGATGCTCTAGCTGAGCGCCTGTTCAAGGTCCTGGATACCGATACGCTTCCCAAGCACCCTGATATGAGCCTGGCGGACTACATCAAGGAGTTGAAGCAATCCATCTTCGTACCTGCCTTGGGCGACGAGAGCCATCGAAAAGCCATGGAGGAGGCAGTCTCCAGAGGCCCAGGTCAATGGGCCACGGATGACCAGAAGGCAGCCGAAGGCCTACAGCTGGGCGAACGACCCGATCCTCCTGCCCAAGGCACCATGGGCTTCGAGGTGGGTTTGTACGGGACACAGCGGCAGACCATCATCATGGTTGACTGGGACGGCAACGTGACATATCGCGAGAGAGCATTGTGGGATGGCAATGGTAACGTCATTGAAAGAGGCCAAGGTGACGAGGTCTTCAAGTTCAAGATTGAGGGTTGGGAGAACTGAACAGTCTGGCTCGTATAGAGACGGTATTGCATGTAAAGGGCCTCGCATCATCGGCATCGGCGCTGGAGGTTGTTCTTGCCCCTTGCATCATGTTTGACATGGCATACTTAATGAGACAAGGAATTATGAGCATTTGAAGTCACAGTAAGAGCGAGGCTTTGATGGGAGGTGATGGGAAGTGACGTTCAGCGGATATACATTGATATGGTAGAAGCTGCCTCCCTCACCTGGTTTGGAAGAAACATCGCGGCAGGGGCATCGGAAGAAGTTGACGACGATGGCAACGACAATGGCACTCGACCTTCCTCTCGCGATGAGTCTCAACCGTCTTTCTCTGTCGCTCGGCAAGAGCTGCATGTGAGTCGACGTCTGTTCAAGGTCCTCGACCGTGCGCTCGATGTCGACGCGTCCTCCAAACATCCAACAACATCAGAGCACTTTTTCATCTGAACCTCACTTTTGGCTCACCTCGCCACGGCTGCGATACACCGCTCTGGCTGCGTATTCCAACACTGAAATTCTCGCCTCGTCTGATTTAATTCTTGTAATTCACTTTCCTCTCCAGACAATGTCCCCCGCCGGGTCCGGATCGCTTGGCCTGGTCCTACTTGCCCACACCACTCGCTGCATCATCACGATTTCGTACTTCTGCATCGACCTGGCCAACGCCAACCTTCGCCTTTTTTCTCTTTGGGCCAAGTCTTGTTTTCTCGCGGCTACTCTCAACTTCCATTCCTTCACTCAGTCAATCGCCATCATTGTTGCCTCTTCAAAGCACGCACTTGGAGCCAGCCAGGTAACTATCACCATCCTCATTTGGGCCATTCCCTACCTCATTTTCCTCGAGTGCATCCTGTATTTTGCTGCACTCATCATTCTGCTGGAAAAATGCGAGACCGTCTATCTGCATCTTCGTTCCTCCCGCTTCGGAACCGCAATTCTCGGGGACCAAAGCACACCACGTCGCGCCCAACCATCTCAGGACCTCTTGGGCCTGTCCAGCGTAGCAGCGGACCGGACCTTGAGCGTGCCGAAGCAATCACCGTCGTTTCGAGCCTCAACGACACCGAAAAACAATACTCAGACATCTCCCAGCCGGCCTCAGACGCTGATTCGGGAAGAGGCCGTTCGACTCTTGGCCCTACTCGACAAGGTGGTATCCTCAAGACTTCCCAAGCAAGCAAAGCTTATGGAGCCCTCGAGTCTGTCAATCCCGACCATCGAAAATCCCAAGGAGAAACCAACCCGCCTCTTCAGCGGCAGGATGTCCTATCCGGTCGTGGAAGCTACCAACCATATCTCACTTCTCAAAGACAAGCTACTGTCAAAGATCGTCGAGTATTGGGGGAGATTTCCCACGCCAACGCTGACAATACGCGCATTCCATATTCAGATGAGCCCGCTCTTCCGCAGTGCGAGAGACTTCATTCCCAAGAGAACCAGCTCATATCGCCTTCAGAAACAGCAGCCCAACTGTCCATGGCAAGATCTCATGGAGTTAGACGACTGTCAGCCAGTTTCACCACAGGCGGACCGTTGTCCAGCAATCCAACTATCGCCAGCTTCCCCGTCATGGCCATCAAAAATACCACACACCTGCGAGGGCCGCCTCATACATCCGTGCCTCCCGAAATCGAAAGAGGTGCGGAAGAGACGATTGAAAGTTCTGGCGGAAACAGCCCTGAACTCGGAGGTCGTCGAAAGCAATCAAGATCGCCCAAAGGCGGAATAGAGAAGCAGCGACTACCTAAATCTCGCACTTTTACCGTTCTGTCCAACCTCACCGCCTCTCTCTCTAGAACATCTCTAGCCAGCTTCACGGGAAGTGATCGTAAGGCCTCTCTGCAGACAGTGGCATCTCGCAAGACCAGCAGTTCTTCGACTCTTACAACTAGCATTCCGACTAGAACCCCCACCCCCATGTCTCCTGAGGTCAACCCACTCATCATTACGACAGCGCAGCCATCGGCTTACTGGTCAGGTCGTTTCATGTCTCTACAGGATCGTTTCCAAGGCGAATCCCTTCAAGAGCAGACTCTATCAATCTTTGTCACAGCCCACGCCTCCAAGGCCAGTATTCTTGCGCAACAACGTGCCGCCTATCAAGGCCGTGGCAACCTACCTCTCAGCACCACAACAGCCCTCGACCGCTACGGCACTGCCGCTATCCAAGAAGCTAAGCGACTCTCGGACGAAGATAATTGCAGTCTCCGCATCTTCCTCCACCTCCAAGCACTTTGCGGTACGCCCGAGGCCCAGAAAAGCTTGCACGCATGGCAAGAGGCGTATGCCCGAAGAATGGGACGCAGCAAGCTCCTGCCAGAAGGCATGAACTCGGACAGGGGGTTCGTTGCGCGGCTCTTTAGTGGAAGCGGAGGTGGAAGACGGAGCTTCGGCAGCTCCCAGTTGGAGAGAGAAGCTGGTAAAGGCAAGCAAGGCAACGCCATGCGAGCAAGCATTATGTGATGGTCTGAGGTACGTCGCTATCGAAGGGTTATTGTAGATCATGGTTATTGGCGTTTCACTTCATTTGTTTGGTTTGTTAGGTTTGTTTGGACTTGGGAGGGGGGAAGCTGGAGGTGTACAGGGACGGAGGCATTAACGCATTGTTCGATTCGGTCAAGAAGAGTCTTTGTCGTACAGGAGGAGTGTACGAGGAAAAGGACCCTTATGCCCATGCATTGTTTTTAGATGGCGTTCACCAGAGATGGAGGTTACCAGAGACGAAAAGTTAGCTGTTAAGAACAATACCCATTTACTTTCTACACCAGCCTGAACCATCTCCATCCCAAAAACGCCTGCCAATGCATGTAGCCGCCCTGCAATATACCTGGAGCGCCTCTAGACCTGTGCCTAGGTCTATCTATGTCTCTCGAAATAGCACCATAGCGCCTCTGTCTAATCCTCAGCCTTCTTTCTCAACTTGAGGTAGTCCCTAATTTGCTCGTGTTTGCTAGCAAAGAACATGCCAAGCTTATCGTTGCGCCATGTCAATACGCCAATCTCTGCCGCGTAGCCCGCAATGTCCTCGTACTCCCTAGGACTGTCGAAATCACGGAACAAGAAGCCGCTCGTGGTCGTCATGCGTTCTGTCTCGAGCTGCCACAGCCGGATTTGGTCGACAACTGTGGGCGGCAGAACGGGCCGGTTCCGTACCGCGGCCATGCGGTGCATCTGTTCGTGGGCGTGGGCGGCAAGGTACGAGATGATCTGGTCGGCTGTGATGCCGCGCTCGACGGCGTTGCGAATCGAGTTACGAGTGAGGCGGCCCGATACCATGTCGGAGAAACGCAACTTGAGCTTGCAGAAGAGTGAGAGGACGGCAATTTGGAGCGGTGTCTGGCCGTAGGCGTAGATGCGGTAGTTCGTCTCGACGATAATGCTGCCGCCCTTGTTCTCCTCGCTTCCGCCGGGGGTCAGGCCGTTAGAGGGTCTTGGGCCAGTGGCTGCGGCGAGAGCCGCGGAGAAGCCTGCTCCTGCACTGCGAAGGGCGCTGGAGCTGCTCGTGAGCGTCGTCGCCAAGCGGGTCGGGAAGTATTGTTGGGTTTTGTGTTGGGGGATGTAGATGAGGCCAAAGTCGAGGAGACTGGGGAGCATATTGCGCCGTGGTTCGGTGAGGGCCTGGGTGTCGTAGGCTCTGCCGAGCTCGAGACTCGCGAGGAGGAAGAGAAAGCTTAGAGCGTCGGTGCTCTCCATTCCTGTGACGGCGGAGGCGTGCTCGGTGGCCTCGAGCCAGAGCAGTAGAAGCGTCCAGACCTGGGCGTTGGCCTCTTGAAGGAGGAAGGTGAAGCCGGCCTGTGTGATGCCGACGGCACCGTTGGCGCGACGTACGAGCGCACCGGCGGCGAGCAGATCCTTAACAGACGCCTTAGGTCCGCTGACGTCGGCGCCGCCGGGGTTCACGGTGTTAACAATGTAGTGGAGGATGTCCTCCCACTTGCGACGGGCGTAGCGATCGAGGAACGGGACGGTGATTTCGGGCGGGATGGGGAGGGAGGAGGGCACGCCGAAGGAGTTGTGGGATCCGCCGCCTTCGAGTGCGAGCCGTAGCGAGTTTTTGAAGTTTGTCGTGAGCTGCATCTCTTGTGGCCGTTCTTTGGAGGGAGGTGTGATTTGGAGGATGTGCAGGCTGCGAAGGGTCGAGATTGCCTGGTCTTTTTGCCTACGAAAGAGCAAGATGGTGTGTTAGACGGCGCGAGTATTTGACTAGTTAGACTTCAGCGCGCACCTTCTTGAGTCCGGCTTGACCCAAACATCGAGGTCCTCTAGCAGCATAGGCTGCGGCATGTATAGAATAGCCATGACGATGGTTTTCGCTGGGCTTCTGGGTCAGCGACCTTGCTCTTTCTCCAACGGAACAACCCAATGCCCTAAGTTATCGATCCAAGGGGAGGTCATGGCTTCTCACCCAGCGGCGGAATCATCCTGCGGAAGATGGCAAAGGCCGTAGAGGGTTGCAGGTACAGCTTCCTAAAGGTCGTGCCGGGCAGCTTCTCCAGGTAGTCGGCCAGCTGGAGCGATTGACCCGAGCTGACCGACATGATGGGCGATTTGCGCGCTGGGTTTTGGGTAGAGGAGGGAACGAAGATGTGAGTCGATGTTATCTCATGTTCGTATAGGCGGCGCGGGGTTTCGGGCTCGAGTTCGGAGACGGGTGGTGAGTCGAAGTGATAGAGCTGTCGTGGATTGTAAGAGTTCACGATGGTTTGCGACCAGGCGAATTGCACGGCGCAGCAATCATTCAATCATCAACTGGGCAAGCAGGGGTCTACGGAGGTTTCCGCCTTAGGCAGGGGCTCTCGTGGGTTGTGCCTGGCTGGAGCTTGGGTGTTTCTTATCTTATCGAGATCCCGATAAGGACTGTTATCAGCCAAAGATAGGTACGTACCTACCTTACTGTCGTCCACACGTCATATTCCCCGTCGCGACTCCCTTCCCGAAGCTCGCCGAGTTCACCTTGAAACTCATTCTCACCAATTCTCATCACTTTGCTCGCCGTCCAAAGCTCAAATATGGCCCCAAAGCTGCCTCCGTTGCGCTTCGTGCGCTCAGTGAGTTTACATTACATACGGACATCGCCAATTGAGTCTAATTGCCCTTTAGGTCTTCAAGTCCTTCACCAAGGACTCTGGGCTTGAGCCGAGGTAAGCTGGCTTGCATCCCGTTTTGCTGTGCATCGCCCATCAAGTACTCACATAACTCTAGGCTCCTTGGTAACAACGTATGAATAAAACTCACGTATATGAACGATAATTTACTCACTCTAAACAGTTTCGAGTGACTGGCGCATCAGTTGGCAAAGTTGATTTCGAGTTGGCAATCCAAAAGGAGCACACGGTACGTCTCATCCATGCTCGCCGTTGCCAAAGACACCACTGACTGGGCCAAATTGACCTACAGAATCGCCTTTCTACGATTCATGGCGGAACTCTTGCTAGTCTTGTTGACCTCGGTGGCTCTCTTGCCGTCGCTTCCAAGGGTCGATTCATGACCGGTGTCTCAACTGACATCAATGGTGAGTATTCAAGTCCATCTATCAGCTCTCACAATGTATTCCAAGATCACTATTGAACTTGTCAACTGACTGCAATAGTCACGTATCTCAACCCTGGAGGCAAGCCTGGCGACATCATGACGGGCACCGCCACCTGTGATAAGAGTACGTTGTAGCCCTGTCCAAAGTAGAGAGCGGAAACTGATTCTTTGCAGTGGGCAGAACGCTTGCATATACGACAGTCACATTCTTCAACAATAAGGGCGAATTGGCTGCAAGAGGAAGCCATACCAAGTGAGACTCTTCCAAAGACCGATCCAGCATTTTGCTGACTTATATCTAGGTACATTGCCAAGACCTGGGGGTCAGAGGACTTCGTTGCACCTGACGAGTATGTTGCTGAAGAAGAGAAATAAAACATGTGATAATCCTAGAGCGCATATGCTACGTTCAACGAAGTCAAACTAGATCAAGGTACAATGTATTAGATGCCGTGTATTCGTAAGGTAGAAGCATTGAGTATCATCACGCATTATCTGGTATCATGCTGTTCCTCGCTCATCCCCAATTCCCAACCAAATCATGCGTAACTGTCACGCTCTCTCAGGTTCTACCGCAAGAACGGATCTTCGGATAAACCTTCCACTTGTCCCCGGACCCCCGATTGGTCTCGACCGAATCAATATACGCTGTTGGCAGTGGTGATATGGGCTCCCGATGCCTCTTCATCATTCAGCTTCGCAGGCTGCACTGAGTCCCCGCGGGTATTGAGGCCGTACTTATCTTGAGTGGCCAGGAAGTAGAGCATGACGAAAACAGCGAAGCTGCCCAAGATACCGACGACTAGCGAGACAATGTTGAACCAAGTGTAAGTATCGTAGTTGTAGTAGTAGTAACCGTATTGCGAGGAAAGCTGAGCAAAGAGCGACCAGACTGCACGGACAAACCAAATAATGCTGATTGCGAGCGCAACGTTCGAGGCCTAGCCATCATATGTCAGCACTCAGACTGAATGTACAACCGCATCACCCAATACTGAGAGACGGTGGAAAATGAAGCAAAACTGACCTTGTGTAGAGGACCCTTGAGGGCGTTCTTGCGAACCAGGGCAATGTACGTGATAGCACCGATAGCGCACAAGAGGTTGAAGATGCCACAAATGAGATCGAAAATCTGAGCCACCAGTCTTCTCATCATCACCCTCTCGTAATCGCTGCTGTTATAGCTCCAAGAATAGTAACCCTCTCTGGTACTCAGCCAGAGGCACATTGCTGTGAAGCTGAGCACCGAGATCAAGATGACGGCGCCGAAGGAGAACGACTTCCCAATCCGGAAGCGTTTTGACGTCTCGTCGACGCGGAGGAGGGTGAATGCGCGGGCGAGGTAGAAGAGCGCCAGGAAAGTCAAGGCCTGGCTGACGTCGAAGAACCAAGAGAGGATATTCGAGGTGTATGTGATAAATTTGGCCAGTGTGGAGTCGTACGCATATGTGCTTCCATGTGCGAGAGAGATGATGTTGAGAATGACGTAGAAGATTTCGGAACTGGAGACAATGCTAATGTTAGCCGCCGTCAAACAGATGGAGTTGTGGTGCTTACAATAGCCATAGCCCCAGGGCTGCTTTGGTAATGGCCACCCATCGGCGAGTGGGGTCATGATAGCTTTTTGATGTCTTTCGGAGAAGGAGAATGAAGAATACGGAGCCTGCGACAGCAGCTAGAGCGCTGACAACAGTGTATACGATCCCCACGATATTTTGAGTATCATAGTGACTCATGTTTGAGAGGGCGTTGTGGTTCCGGTTCTCTGTAGCAACACCTGGTTCTTTTTTCCCGTGAATATCTGGATCAAATCTGTTGTTTTTGTTGAGTTGAGAGGATGGACAATAGGCTGGGCTACAAAAGTAAGTCTGTCCTTCTCCCCTGACTTAAGTATGGCCAGCCGTCAAACAGAAATGAGCGGTCTCACGAGCATAGCCTGCTCAACATCCGCTTTGGATTCTCGCCTACAAGTGTCTCACCCCGGCCGGGCGAAGGACGCCTGGCGTTTGCTGTGCCGCACTAGCCCCGGGCGATTACAGTTCTACCCACTCCGCCCGGTTTCCACTCTGCCACTTCTCCTGGGCGCGACACATGGCTCTGCACCAACCAGAGGAGCCTGATTTTCGCTGCCAAGATGTTCCAACAGCCGAATTGCTGTTATTTGACCTACATGGAGGGCAATATTGACCCCAGCCTCCCACCGTCACAAGTCGGTGTCTTGGGGTTGGCCGCAGAGACAGAACAGGCACTGACTTGGACTGGTGAGTAGTACTTGCAAGGCCTGACTACCCTTGTTCATCTCCTTATGACTACTTCGTGGTCATTCGCCAGTCTGAGAGCGCTGTAGGCTTAGAGCCAAGCCTCTTTTCTAGCTTAATTCAAGCTTAATTCCTCTTCTACTGGTGAGCTTGAGGTTGAAGCCACCCCCAAAGTCTCAATAACAGATGGCATTGCGTTGATGTTCTCCAAGATGATGCTGACTATGTGAGTTCCGCGGTATGTCACAAGTAATTGAGCGAATGGCTTATTCTCGAAAAAGATGGTAGCCAGTTTTGACAAGAGGATGCTACGCTGCCTTGCGATGTGATTGTGGAGAGCAGTGTCCCTCGCCCCATAGTACCTATCAATATTTCGTCTCCGCGAGATTGATAATCCTCATAATGTACTTGCCACAAATTTTATTCCACTTGAGCTCTTTGCCGAACTCGAGGGCATCATGGCCGGGCAGTAAATGCTGCAGCCTGTTAAGCCGTAGCGCCTTGGCAACGTGCTTCGCCCCTGGCAAAGCCTCGTTGTAGCGAATATGACGAATATGATAGGCTTGCTTTTTCTCCGTGGGTAATCAGTTTGGCAAATATGGCCTGCTGCAGTGAATTCGAGAAGCTCTCGGGCAACGTGACGTGGAATGACTGATGCTATGTGAGGTAGAGTGTGACTCCGAATCGCCTCAATATTTCCAAGCAATAGACGACGTGCCCTACACGAATACCACAACAGTGTAGAGACAGACTCGTACATGTCCTTATCTGACATCGCATGCATTCTTCTCCAAGGAGTAGCAGACTTTCACACAGACGACTGGTACAGGAAGATGCAAGATGCAGCTCGAGGCATCTTCCGCACCACTGAAAAGTGCGATGACGAATGGCAGTAACTCGTCTTAGTTTGTACATAGATTCGGAACTTGAAAGTAAATACAAGAAGATATTTCCAGACCACCCAGCAGCTCCGCCAACTACCTTAGCACACATTTGGCCCAGCCTCGAGAGCCGAAGCAACGGTCTCGGCAACCGCATCGTGGATGGGGTAAGTAGGATGCAGCGTGTTGAGCCAGAAGTACTCGTTGACTGGGTAGGTGCAGCTGTCAATGAGGGTGTCCTGAGCAGTCGTACCGCTGTTCAAAGGTTAGCTTATACGTGCAGGCTCTTCGAATTCGAGGGTGACTTACTCCTTGTACGCGTCGCAGTATCCAGTAGTGTTCTTGTACCCCTTGGTAGCATCAAACTTGGCCACGTTATCAAGCACACCGTTGAACACCCCGTTGGCATCAACGACCCACGAGTTTGCGCCCTCCCACGTCGTGACATTCTTCGCCATGGCGTTAACCCTGCCGTTGAAATCAGCAACGTCATCTTTGCAGAGCTTCTGCGCGTCCGCGTTCTCGGCAAGGAGCATCGGCGTCCGGTCGACAGGCGGCGTCGTCAACCACACAAAGTTCCTCGCGCCCGCCTCGTACAGCTCTTTGGCCAGACCCTGGTAGACGTCCACGATCTTGGTGTTGAGCGCAGAGGTAGCATCGGCTCCGTTCCAGTACGAGTTGCCGATATCGTTGACGCCGATCCAGAAGGCGAATACTGAGTCCGCGCCCGTCCAGGCCGGCGCTGTCTTTGCGGCGTAGGCGTTGCTGAAGAGCGTCTGGACCTGGTCCTTGAGGGTGAGTACCGTGTCGGCGTAGGGTTTGACGAGGTCGGCGTCGACAGTGGCGCCGCCGTAGGCGAGGTTGTAGGTGTACAGGAGGGATGCGTTGTGCTTTACGGTAAGGTAGTCGACCCAGTTGGGGCCGTTGCAGGAGGTCCAGCCCGGGTAGGAAGGGTTCCCGAGGGGATTGGCGGGGTTAGGAGCTTCTAGGGAGGTGTTGAAGCCTGTGATCTGTTAGCCGGATGACACTAATTCGAGGCCGCCGAGTATCGTGCCTGTCTGGGAGTACGAGTCGCCGCTGGTAACTGTTAGCGTGTATGTAGGACAGAGCGCAGAAGTGTTGCAGACTTACAAGACGAAAGCGTGCTTGACATTCGCAAACCCAGGCCACTCCGCCGTCGCGGTACAGGCACGCTTCTCAAGAGCGCTCGCCCCAGCAGCCAAGAGGCCGGTCGTCAAGATCTGTGACTTCATTGTGTCCTGCACCTATCAAGTAAAGAGTGTGTTTTCAAAAACGAACGACTTGGTCGGGAAGAATGGAAAGACAGGCGGGGATGCGGTAGATCAACATGAACGATCGACGGGAACCCAGCAACACCTATATAAACACGGTCGCTTTCGTACCCGTCATGACGGAAAACTCGCTCTTCGAAGGGGGCTTGACAATTAATCTACACCTTACCAGACCCATTAAGCCCCCGGAGCCCCTCAATTAACGGAAGGGAGCGAAAAAGCTTGGGACCCCCAGGCCCCCGGGTCCTCGGATTGCTCCATGGGCGGGGCATAGTCTCTTCTTTCTCGCTGTCCGAGCTTGAAGTCTCGATGACCTCTGCCGATGTACTCGAAGCGGCAGTATAGGACGGTTCCCTAAAGGCTCGCCGGACGATCGGCACGGCAGCTGCGTGCTCGTCACGTTGAGGCTCAAAGTCTTGTCTAGCGAGGTAATCAGGGGTCATCGAGTTCTTCCCGTTCATCCAAAAACCGCCACGAGTCGATCAAAGTGTGGAGATCGAAGACAAATAGAGTGAAGGTGGGCCGGCCTGAGACCGGACGAGACAAGGATTAAGAGATTGGATATCACGTGCGCGGAGGAAGTCCCTCCGCTTCGCTAGGATGGTGCGACAAAGTTACAGCACTACCACAATCATAATTCCCTGGCCAAGGACATTATATTCGGCTTCTTGCTCAACGACAATGCGACTCAACTCATCGTTCGTCTAGCCGTGCGTTAGTAACGGCTTCCCTGTTGGCATATGCAGGTTACCTGAGCCTCAATAGCACTGTGGGCGAGTTGCGAGGCTGGGTAGGGTGTGAAGAAAGGTCGCTGAGTGAGGTTTCCGAGTAATTGAAGGCATGCGATTGAACGATGAAGGAGTTTCTTCTATTCATTAGTGATGCTGACTCTATACATAAGTAACTTCCAAGTATCATGCTTCCTCTTTTCTCTTAGCAACTGAGAGCTCAAGACCGTCAGACGTTTTCTCTGGCTCTGCCCTTCTTCCTTCTCAAAAGCCCTTCCCAACTGATATCCAAGTTCTTCCACCCATGTCGCTACTGAGGCGGAGGCCACGCCATTGAGTCTTCTTCTACTATATACTCAAGATCGTAGGTTTCAATGCCGAACCCAGGCGGATTCCATCCCCATTCTGATTCCTCCCACCCGGTATGCTCTGGCGCAGCCCTTTCTGAAGGAGGCATCAGCTCGGGAGGGGAACTGCCAACTGAGCCATTGGCCGCCAAACACTGCTCAACTCTCTGAACATAATCTGGGGTCGGGGGCAGGTAGCCCAACTGGGAGAGCAAGCTTTCCTGCCTATGTCTCCAAGCCCTAACAAGAACCGCTCCTGCGACGGCATATGGGTGAACCGACATTTCGAAATAGTTTTCCTGGTATTGGTATATGATGGGCAGTACCTTCCATGCTCGATCGACCAAGTCGCCGGCTGACTGGAGACACAGCCGACCGATCATGTGGAGGAACAAGTCGTACTCGAGATACTGAAGGACGTACCACACAAAGTTCCAACCCTCCATCACCTGAAGATGGTTCGCAACGTGTTCAGCCGCCTCGAGTGAAACACGAAACAGGATGTCCCCTTTCGCCTCAGGCGGTGGCTCCACAGCCCCCTTGGGCTTGCATGCCATGATTCGAATCTTGTCGACCATGGCTGCTTTCAGCTGCAAAGCCAATACATGCAGATCCCCCGCACTCGGATCGCAATAACGCTTCACGATATCCTCTAAAAACTCTTCAAAGTTCACGACGAACTTCTCCAGCTCGATACTGTGAAGTCGACTGAGCTCGTCTGACACGTCACTCTTTTCGACGACGAACATGGCATGGCTCAAATTGGTTCGCTGAGTGAGACATCGCGACAAGCTGCAAACCACCAAAGAGACAATCATCTCAGTCGGGCCGTCTCTATTTTCGAGGGGAGTCGCGGTATCGACATCGAAATCGGCGTCGTTGATATTGGTGGGCATTTTGCAGCTGCAAGCACGTGACAACGGAGTTGGGTTGAATCCAGAGGCCATGGCGAATCGAAAATCGAGTAGCACAATATTCCACCAGACGCGTCTTCGTAGCTCTGTTTGGAAGGGGGAAATTCCTAGTTGTGAGCCATCTCGGTGTAGCCCTAGACGTTGGGCACTCCGAATACAGACGCCGCTCATGACCCAGTTCGCGTGAGCACTCTCTCGATCCGGAATCACAACCTGTTAGAAACTTGACTTAGCTAGGTGTTCAACCTTGTGAGATGGCATGAATTTGTGCGACACTTTGGAGGTCCAAAACAATTCGTGAGGTTTTCAGTACCAGTTGAAGTACGAGTGCTTGCAATAGCACGAAAGTGGGCTTCTCCAAGAAGCGCGCACGATACAGCCCCTTCCGCAAGGTCTTCGAGAACCGATTCAATAGCTCTATTTTTGACTGACCCAGTAACCTTGTGCATTCTTCTGGCCTCATCGAACCAACAGCACACGCATAGATCGAGAAGAACAATACTTCCATGTCTCGCGGCAAAGACGGCGGAGTGGCCGTGGCCTGGACCAGATGACGTTGCGTGGACGGCACGTGAATGAATTTCGTTATTGGGTTGACTCGATCTACGAACATCCGCCATAGCAGCATGGCATGACTCGAAGGCGGATGCAGATGTTGCGGGTTGCGGGCACTGGGCTCTCTGACGTCCATGATGTTTGACTCATTCGCAATGGACGGCTGTTGAATGGTCGTCGTTTCGGGTAGGCTCGATAGGCTCGCAGGACTGTCGGCGTCCTCCACGATTGCTCTCATGGCTTGCAACTACATGGAGGCAAATAGATTGTCAGATATCTGGCTGGCGAAAGAAGCTGTCGTCAAGGGGCCGTTGACAGGGCATTTACCTCATCGAACACCGTGGCCCAAGGGGTGCTATCAGTAAATCTGACAGACCCTTTGTCGATAACGAGCTTCCCAAGAGAGTTCTCAAGCGCTTGCATTTCGCGATCCCGGCTCCGATCCTGATCCTCAATCTTTGTACTTGTATCGCTTTTCGGACTAGGCTCCGTACGAGTACCATCGCTACTCTTCTCGCGCTTTTCTGCGGCCACGAACTGTTGGAGTAGTTCCTCGCATCGCGCCAGTCTTCGTTGAAGTTCAACATTGGGCTTCTTCCGGTTCCGTGTCTTTGAGTTTTCGCGTGGTACACACTCTGCGCCTAGCTGAATTACCAATGACTTACTGTTAGATCTTGAAGCAAGTGTCTCTGAGGGGAGAGTGCTTTCAAGGATCACGAACCTTGACGCAGCCTCCGCACGCCGGGCTCTCGCGACCGCACTTGACTTTCCGCGATTTGCAAAGAACGCATGCTGGCTTGCGTGGAATCGGCGGTGCCTCAGCAGCTACCGACACCATTCTGGGCTTTGAACAACAAAATAGCACAATTTACTACCCAAAGCTGTCAGACGAGTAGATGTAAGCAGCTTATCGATGGCATCGGCGGCCTCCAGAGCATCGCGAAAAGAAAGGTGGGACAGAGGATGTCACCATTCTTTAAGCTCGTCCCTAGACGGGATTTTATGCATTCTTTCAAGAGTGTAGGGCGTCCATCCCTTTATGGCATTGTCAGCAGGGATCTACTAGTGACACAGGCCCAGGCTGAGCACCGGGCACTAAGCCAAATGCACCGTCGTATAGCGGGAGCGTACGCAATCAACTGAATCGTACGGTTATTGTAGCGTGCCTATCAGGCAGTAATCTCAACTCTAAAGGCCACTCGGAGCTAAGATTTCGGAAAAGTCAGTTCGCAATACCGAACATGTTCGAAATTTGACACTTCAACTTAACTTACAACATGCTTGGCGAAGGGTTCCAGACGTCTTATTTGCCTCATTCCCATTACTTTAATATGTATGTGGATTGATTCGAGACGCGATAAGGTTTCCCAAGTAGGAAATCGATGTCTTCCAGCTCAGTCGATGACGCTTCCTGAGAAGTCTTTGAGGATGTTGTGGAAGCCTATGGCAAGCGTGTAGAACTTGTCGCAGGAGTACCTACAACATATTTGACCATATGGTTTATGAAGAAACGTGGTTCAGACGGTTGACTGGTCCGGGCTGAAGAGAGCGCGAGAACATGTCCGTAGTTGCGAGGGGTGCGTGTGACGATGTATGCCGTCTAGCCTCAACGCACAATGAGTGATCAGATAGATCTATCTATTCTACTGAGAGAGCACAGCATTTATCGCAGACAAGCCATGCAACCAAGCTGTTATAAACGAGACAATTTGCATCATCTAGGCAGCAATGTCAGTATCCTAAGCAACAAAAGCGAGTATCCTGTATGCGATTCCGGATGGTGCCCGTGTTGTGCGGGCATAGAGCACAGAGCACCCTGGGTTTTCGGCTCTTAATAAGGAGCGAAATACGGGTCCCCGGGTTCTTATAAGAAGCGAGACGCCCGAAATGGTAACGTGCTGGTGGACCACCTCATAAGTCCTACCGGTTGAGATCATTTGCACAACTCAGGAAAGTTTCGTTTAAAGGCTGGCAAATTGATGTGTGTATAAGCTAGTTATATCTCTGGCTTGGCCTTGAATCTGGGCTTCTCAGGTAGTATTTCGAGTGCTTCGGGGCGGGCCGCGCGCCAGGCCTCTTCACAATACGCGATCTCTTCATTTGAGGTACGACCGGATCCATCATCGTAGTCGCGAGTTCAATATCTTTGCGTTCGTCTTGCATGCCGACACGACGGAACTCTCATAGTCTCGTTGTATTTGTCATCCATAAGAGACTACTGTTACTGCCAAGGAGGCAATGTCAAGGGAAGCTCTTCCTGCGCTGTGCAATGTACCTCGGAACACGATCAAGGCTGGAATGAGACACTGGATACAGAACAGAAGAACTGTCAATAGTTCAAAAAATGAAATAGATCATTGTAATTTCGTTGGCTGAGCCCATATTGTCTTGTCTCTAACAGCCTGACGATGCTTGCTAGGCCTTAAGATTCGTACGTTGTACGGGGCCGCCATCACAGACATCACCTTAGACATGCGCCCTTTTCAATTACAACCAATAAAACACCTTGACCTTCGACAGTCAGCAATTAGTCTGTTGAAAACACGAAGATAGTAGCACAAGGCAGACAAGAGAGGCGATAACGCGAAATGGTACCCAAGGGCGGACATAGCAAAGCGGTACTATATTAGAACGAGCCCTCGCAAGTAAAGTAGCCGCAGATGGTAGAGGTCTATGAAGAAAAGAATCCGACCATCCGTAGACATTAAAGGTCCACGCAACACGGACGAGGATAGATTAAATACTACACTATGACGCCAACGACGCATCTTCTTTTGTTACGAGTTATGGCACGTAGCAATGGGCATACGGAGTATAATAAAAGTAGCTTAATTATTAAAGTAAAAATAGATAAAAAGAAAAGGTTTATATATACGATATTTAAAATAGATACGTAATTTAGTACGTAACGAGCACTTTATAAAGTATAATTACTATCCTTATTACGTAATATACCCCCTAATTATTATTACTAGGGAGCTATTATACTTAAAATAAAATCTCTAAATACCCTTATAAAGGCCTAATTTAGTTAAATATAAATAAAAGAAAAATAAGTATAAGGGATATGCGTTTTTTAAACCGCGTTTATTATAAATATATCCCTTTATTTAAAGTAAATAAAATCCTAACCTAAAATAGTATATATTATACTACTTTTAATATATAAATTACTAAGAGCGAAGCTACTTAGCTACTTTATATATATTTAAATTCTCGTAGCGTTACTTAATTATTATTTTTTTTCTTTTTTTTAACTTTTTATAATTATTATAAGTACCCCCGTTTATTATATACGCGCGCTTATACTATTAAATCGTTTATTAATTTTATTTTAAATATAAATATTTAATATATTTAAAAATAATAATAAGTTTTATATAATTTTTATAATACTTCTTATATATATATTATATAGTTTATTAAAAGTTTAGATAAGTAATAATATTAACGAGCCCCTTTAAGTCGTCTCCCCCCCCTGCGACTTCTTATTTACTTATTAAAGCCTAATTACTAAGCTTTTCCTCCCTAATTAAGAGGATATCGAGGCTACTTATTAAAATACTGAGGACTTTATTAAATTTAAAACTCTCCTTAATAACTATAATAAGGGTAATAATAAAATAAATAGTAATAATAAGAGCTTTAATAAGCTTTTACTTATCTCTCCCTTAGAGTTTAAAAATAAAAATAAAACTAATTTAGATAATAAGCCCTTTAAAAAAGGTATATTATATACTTATTATTTTAAGAGTTTATATTTAATATTATTTTAAGGTTTAAAAAATATAAAACTAGTTCTTTTTAAAAGGGTAGTAAAAAATAAAAAAGAACGTTAAGAAGTAAAAATACCCCCCATAATAAATATAATTCTCTTTACTATTTTAAGCTTATTTAATATATACTTAGTTTTTAAAAAGCTTAAGAGAGAGGCTCCCGAAAAATAGGAAATTTAATACTTACCCTATTTTAAAATAGCCCTCTAATATACTAACCTTAAGAATAGTAGTTATTATTTTATAAAAAATAATAGCTAGTATATACGCTACTTTAATAGCCGTTTAGTTAAAGGGTATATTAATATACTAATTATTTTATAATTAATAACTTAGGCCCTTACTAAGGCTATTATAAATAATACTCCCTCTTTTATAAGTATATTATCTTTTTTTATTATTAAAAAGCGCACTTTTAATTATAATTTTAATAAAATATTACTAAGCTCCGCAATATCGTCCGCTAAATAAATAAAAACTAGAGATTATATAAAAACTATATCGGCTTTTATATAAAAAACTTTTTTAACCTGCGCCCCTAGTCCTCTCTTATACTTATTATAATCGTTTATAACTAACCTCTTATTATACTACCTATTTTTATACCCTAAGTCGTTAACTTAATAATCGTTTTAACTCCTATACTTCTTATTACCCCCGCTATTCCTAACTTTATAAACTTCGAAATATATAAAACGCATTTTTTAGTACGTATACTAACCCTCCTCTTTAATAATATTATATTCTTAATAATTATATATTTTATAAATTAAGAGTTTAAATAATAAATATAAGCCTAGGTCTTATTTCTATATATATATACCTTATAGAGCAAAGTTATTTTAGGAGTTTAGGCCTTTAGGCTATAAAAAGTTTTTATTTTATTTATTTTAAGCTTCTGGGCCGTACTTTAAGTTCTATCTATTATCTACTTTTAGGTATTAAGTTTTTCTAAGTATAGCCTAAATTAATTATTTTTAACTATTTTAGCTATTTATAATAACTTCTTACGTATTATAAAAGTTAAAAAGTATATGGAAATATTCGAACTTAGCTCGTAAAAGGTTTTTAATAAGTCTATTTATTAATATATTTTTTATTAATATATAAATAACTTCGAAGCTATTTTTAGCGTATTCTTATTTTAACTATATATTTTATATATTAATATAGCAAAGTTAAGTAGCTATTCTTTCTCTTTCCCCTATGATAAGTCGTATTATTTATTAATTATCGTAGTTAACTAACTATACTTCTCTTAAGTTAAGGGTAATATTTTTAAAAAAGTACTTTAGAGCTATAGTCTTTTTTACGGTTTCCTTAAAGTAAAAAAGCTTAGTTTTAGTAATTAACGTCGTAACCGTTACTTAGTATATTAATTTTTATTAAATTAGGCCGCTAAAAAGGAATATTATATATCCTTAAGATAATCGTCGTATTATTTCGTTATTTACAAAACTAATATCTCTAGCTAAAAATAATAATTACGTACTTAGTATACTACTATAATAGAGTATAAAATATCTCGTTATATAAAAATATCGAATATAATAATTAATTATTTTAATATAAGTTACGCTTAAGTTAGTTAGGAACCGTAATAATTATAAGTAAATAAAAGCGACGTTTAGTTTAATTATAATAGCTATATAAAACACACTCCCGACCTTTTCTTAGTAGCTTTTTATTTCCTTTTTTATTACCTACCCCTCGTTTAGTTTAAACTTTTCTTAAAAAAGAGGGGTAGCTAAATATAATAAATTTATAAAGTCGAAGCGCTTAATAACTCGCTCAATATATACGTCGTAAATAAAATAAACCTTACGAGTAATACGGTCTTATAAAATCCGTACTCTAAAAAAGTAATTAATCGGTCTATTCTCTTTAAAGTTAATATATTTTTTTATATTATTAACGATCCCTTAAGCCGCTTTTTAGTCGTCTTAATAGTATAAAATAATAAAGTCGTTAACGTAGAATATTAGTATTACTTTCCTATTTACGGTTTAGTAAATATAGATCTTTTTATAATTATATATTATATTTATATTATAAAATATAAAAATAAAAATTTAAAACTAGAGAATTAATAAGTTTTAGAAGCTATATAGAGCGCGTTAGAGCTTATTTACTTTATTAATAACCTTATATCCCTTTAAAAGTTTAATAATTACTAGTTTCTCGCTTTTAAAAAGCGCGTTAAAGAATATATTAATAATATTATACTAGTCTATTTTAAAGTTAAATTAGGTAGCTATTATTATTATAAGCCTAAAGGCCTTTATAATAAGCGTTAAAGCGTATATATTTTATAAGGAGTTAAGTAATTATATATCCCCCTTTATATATATACGTACCTTTACCTCGCTAACCTCGTTATTAATATCGTACTTATAAATATATACCTATTTTAATAAAAATAGGATCCCTTATTTAGGATTATAATCGACCTCTTCTTATATACTAATATCCCTTAGCTTTTTTATTTTTATATCTATAATATCCCTAAATAGCTTTTATAGTTATAATAAGAAATATTTAATATTACTAAACTTCTTTAATAAGCTTTAGAAGTTAACTTTAATAAGTTATAGTTTCTAAACTCTTCTAGAACGCTCTAAGTAGGTCTTATAAACTATTCTTTTTATTACTTAATAGAGTATTATATATCCTATACTACTTTTTTTTATAGCTTTTTACTAATTAAATATAAAAATAAAAAAAAAGTAGTCCTAAAGATAGTTATAATAGTTACTATCTTTTATATTCGAATATAAAAGCGTTACGAAAATATTATTATTAAAGCGTTATAAAGGTCTGCGGGCCCGGTTTAAACGTCTAGGACCTAATAGAGCTTTACTTAATACTTAATAAGGTAATTTTTATAAGCTCTATTTTTATATAATAATAGAGGTTTATTATAAGGGTTCTTTATTAACGTCGACTTTAATATTAAAAATTATTTCTTTACGATCGGTACCTCGTTTACTATATATTTTAGCGTTTTATTAAAAACTGTTAGGAATTAAAAGCTTGAGAACCTCTATAGTATATATAAGTACTTATAGGGAGGATTATAAACTACGTAAAGCTATTTATAACTTAGTTACTATATCCCCTTCTTTACCCCTACCCCTAAGCTTATATAAAAAGGTTATTTTAAAAGTTAATAATAATAATAAGATTATATTAGCCTCTTTAGCCTTATTAACCGCATTTTAAAATACGTCTATCGGTTACTTAGCATCCTAAATAATTAAAAATTTAATAATAATATTATTCTTAATTATAAAATTATTTTAAGTATTAGTATTTTTAAAATCTAGATCTATTTCTCTAAGTACTCGAACTAGCTTATTATTAGTATTAAAGAGTTCTTATATCTCTTAGATTATTAAATTTACTTACTCGCCCATAATAGCTTATTTTTCGTATATAGGATTATAAAAAACTTCTTTATTAAACTTAATATTTTTTATAATAAATACTTATTTAAGCGCAGGTACTTAAACCCTATATAAGTTATACGTTTTTAATATATATCTAATTAAGTATTTTATATACCCGCGGGGAAGTATTTTAAACTCTTTTTAATATATACCCCTTTTATAATCCTTATAAAAAGGGTATACTTAGTAGTTATATACGTAGAGACTACTAAGATATAGAGTAACTAGTTTAGAATCCCGTACTTAGTAACCCGTTTATTACTAGTGTTAATACCGCTTTTACTAGTTAATTTTTATTATAATAAGCAAATCTCTTTTATTAGCCTCCCGTAGGGTAATATTATAAATAAAAATTATTACTAATACTATTTTGTCCTATAGATTCGTAAGGAAGTTCGTAAAAAAGTATATTTTACGAGCTTTAGTAATTACGAATTAACCTATTTTTTTAGTATTATTTACGGGTTCCTTCGTATATAGAAGTAGAAATTTTATTTTAATTCCTAGCTCGCTATACTACGTCTTATATATATATTTAACGTTTATAATTAAGAGGGCAGTTTTATTATTATTTTTAAAAAAGTAAATTAAGGTCCCTTTTTAATAATAAATCGCTACCTCGAGGCTCTATAATACGAAAAATACTTCTTTTTTTATTTTAGTCCTTAAAAAGAACCCCCTAAGCTACTTATTATATTTATTAGAAGTTATAAGTATATATTATCGTTTATTAAAAAATAGTTTAAAATAAAAGAGATCTTAATATATATAGTACTATAGCTATAAAGCTCTTTTTAAGGGTAGCCCTCTTAAAACTATTATCTTAGCTTCGGATAATATATATACTTTATACTTAATTTATAATAGAGGTTTAATACGTATACCTCGAGTTTTATATAATAATTAATAAAGAGTATTAAGTCCTAGATAACTTATTTTAAAATATTAAAAGAGCGCGCTATTAGACTTTTTATAGGTATATTAATATAAATAACGGAATTTTCTATAATTAATTAATAATATAATACTAGCTAGGCTCTATAAGATATACTTAAAGTTTATAAAAAAAGAATAGGATTAGAAAAGCTTATATTTAAAAAAGACTAAATTATTTTTTTAAATAAGCTACTTTTTAATAATACTTTTATAAAACGTTCCTTATTATAAAATATAATCTAGACTATAGTACTAGAATACGCTTCTATTTAGTAAAGTTTTTAAAACTATATTAATATAAAATCCCTCGATATAAGTAACGTTCTAGAGCTTTAAATCGTAAGTTCCCTTTCCCTTAAGTCCGTTTAAAACGCCCTTTATAATATAAATATTACGTATAGTAATAAGTAATATAATAGTTCTTAATTTAATATAGTTATTATTATTTAATAATATATAACTCTCGGGTTTAAATAGGCTCTTATTATTAACTAAATATATTATTTTATAACTATTTATTACCGTACTTTAAAAAAGGGGGTAAGTACTATTTATAGGGATACTAAAAATTGCGTTTACTTTTAAATCCTAATTTTTTATAAATATAATAACTACGTAGCCCTCGTCCTAGTTTATTAATAAGCTCGCTATAAGTTAGTTAGAGGATCTTTTTAAAAACCTAAGTTTTTTAGGGGTTCTATCGTTCTTTAGCTAACTAGCTTTCTTAAGCTTACTATAAAGTAATTTTTACTTACTTAATTTAATAATAATAAGGACTTCCTTTATATAGCTCTTTAATATTTATATTAATAACTTATTAGTATTTTAGTTTATAAATACCTATTTTAATTTTTAATACGCTATAAGGTACTATAAATATACGTAATTATAAAAGTATATAACGTTACCCTTATTATTTACGTTATTAATTAAATTAGAGCGTTTAATAAAAATAGAATAAGCCCCTCTTTAACCTAAAGGTCGTTTGGTATATATATCCTAAGTTACTAAGCTAAATATATACGTAATCTCCTCGAGTATCTTTATATACGTTCTAAAAGTTATTAATTTACTAAAGGTTTTATATATACGTTAGCCTTATATAAAATTAAGTCTAAACTTAACTATAATTAAAAAGTTAAGTATAGCGATCTCTTTACTAATTTTTAAAATATTATACGTTTTAGCTTAAAAATAAATAAACTACTACTCTTTATATTAATATTAAAAGTTAATTCCGGTCCTCGTTTTATTAAGGGTTTATTAATATTCCTCTTAAACTATATTCCTTATTACTAGTTCGGGGGACGCAAATTCCTACTTTAAATATCTAATAATTCGCTATATACTAAACTTAGTACTATTTTTAATAACTTTTTAAAATACGTATTTATATAATATAGCGTTAATTAATTTTACTAATTACTAAGCGAGGACTTTAATATATATATTAATAATATTACGTTTATAAGCTATAAGTTACTTATATTTAGCGTTAAGCTCTTATTATTTTTAAATATTCTTAAGTATATAGATCCTCTTTATAAATACGGTATAAAAATAGATTTATTTATGTAAAGTAAGTAGTATAGCTAGTTTTATAAAAAAAAACCTAGCTTAGTTTTATAAGTTATTTATATTTAAAAAAGTTAAAAAGTTCGTACTAAGAGTTATATTTAAAAATTACTAATAAAGGATTTCCTAGTTTTTTTAGTTATTTTCGAACGCTTTATAACGGGCCTAGTAAGCTTATAATTCTTTTTTATTATAGGTCGTAACTAATTATCTAAATTTAAAGAGCGAAATAAGTACTATAAAGGGGTTAAGGAATATATTAGAGTTTAGAGTATTTAGGTCGACGTATTTTTAAACCCCGACGCTCTTATTTATAATATAAAATATATTAAACTATTTAATCTAACTATTATAGCTAATTAATTTAACTTAAATTAAAATAAGTATAAATAAGTTAATTATTTTAAAAAGATTATAAGAATTATATTAATAAGTGCGTTATTATAATATAAGGTCTTAATTAAGAGCTAGGCTTATAATTATTATAAGTTATAGTACGTAGTAATAAGTATATAGAGTATAATAAAAATAGTTTAATTATTAAAATAGAAATAGATAAAAAGAAAAGGTCTATATATATAATATCTAAAATAGATACGTAATTTAGTACGTAATAGGCACTTCGTGAGGTGCGATTACTATCCCTATTACGTAATATCTTTCTACGTTTAAAATAACCGTCGTGATCTTTCCCTTAGAGCTTTTTATAACAGCGTCGATATAAAATCTAACGAACTTCGTAGTAGTTTGCTAACTACGGAAGCATATGAGTGGAGGGTTCCATGTATTCGAGCTTATCGACTGCCGTAGAGCGTGCAGCCGCGACAAGTTGTGAGGATGAAGGGCTCTATTCCCCGATAGGACAAAGGCCTTTATACTTAACTGAAAGTACGATGACGCAATATTCGTACATGCAGCGACCCGAAAAGAATGAGCAGGGCATAAACGAGTCAAGCTAATAAGCTACCGATAAGAACGAGACCATATGGCAAATATGGCGGCTGGAGATATTGAGTAGTTTACTCGCTCTCGGTTGCGTGCTAGTAATCATCATAATATTAGCGCTCCATTAGAGCAAGCCCTTGCCCAAGTGGCCAGGTGTGATGTCGGTCAATATCTTGGTCGCTACCTTTACCGCAGTTTATAAGGCATCTCTTATAATGCCCGTTGCCGAAGGTGCGTCATAGTGATGGTTCTTCTAGGTCATTGAAACATTCTTTTGGTGCTGACAAGAGGATGGAAATCAGGCCTGGGTCAGCTGAAGTGGGATTGGTTTCAACGCCCACAGAAGCTAGCTGATGTGGTTGCTTTCGACGATGCTACACGTGGTCCATGGGGCTCCTTGATACTGATCATGAAGAAAATACCACAAGCATAAAGACCGTGAGCTCTTGTACCAAGCTTTCTATCATATCTTGGCCAACCTGCTAATCTTTCTCGAAGATATTTGGCAGGGCTTGGTGCCCTGATCACCATAGCCGCTCTCGCCATCGATCCCATTTCTCAAGCCATGTTCGAACACAAAGGATGCAGTCGTGCCGCAGATTCTGTCAACGGCATCATAGCAGAGATACCGAGAGCGAATCACTACACAGTTGGTCCGATGGACTCCGGCATCGTAAAGGGACTTGCTGAACCTCGAGAGTTGGCTTCCTTGATCAACGTCAAATGCGCTACGGGCAACTGCACCTTTGGGAACGGGGACAACGGAAGTCACTTCTAATCTTTAACCATTTGTCACTCCTGTCAAGACATGAAGGACCGAGTCATCAAAGTTCAAGAGGGTCCAGATTCCCCTTTCTACCTTACGCATAGCAGTTGTCTTACGATTACAATTACACCGTGCCATCATTGATTCCGGAAGTTTCTAGTCTATGGAACAGTTCGAAACTGTCGCTCTTGACCACACCGGGAATCTTTGATAAACACAAAGTGTCATTTAGACCCTTTTATAGTTTCGATGTTTTGACGGTAATTGATTCACCCTGTAACCATCGGGATGACACCTGCGCAGATGAAAACACTTCAGCACCTGCCGTTCGATGCAGGCTAGATGCATGCTTCAAGCGTTACCATAGCAAGGTCCACGATGGAGTCTATCTCGAAGTAGAACATCCAAATTCGAACGAGATTCTAACATGGCATGACGAGTGGACCCTTGTGACCAACTCTGGCCTAATCGATGGCAAGGAAATATCGTGTACGGCAAGAGAGCGCTGGGCGCCTCAAGCAGTTCGAGTTGAGTCAGTGGACGGTGGTCCATTTCAGCTTTCGCCTACGAGCCGTCTTTCTGAACGCGAAGGAGACGAGACTTTTGGCAGGAGGAAGAACGTGATTTGAAAATTTGTACCGCCGGAGTGTGTATGGCGAATAGACGCAATCTCCTGGCGAGCGATTACCTCCACGTTGCAGGACATCTTGCAGAACAACGTCACGACAGCATGTTGGATGGTAGACCCGGAGTAATAACGGGCCCAACCTGGTTGAAACAAGTCTACGCGCAAGCCGCTGGCAATATCTCCACGGTCGATAATTTGGCCCGCGGGTTGGCAATTTCGACGACTGCGGGCATGCGCAACAAACCATACGACGGCCTCGACGACAAGCGAATAGCAGAACTTTATTCAGGCCTGAGAGCAGTAGTGGGTGTGACCCTTATCACCGACACATGTGTCTACGTTCATTGGCTCTGGGTCGGAAATCCAGTTGCACTCCTAGTGCTTCAATGGACATTCTGCGCTCTGGTGCTGGCGAACCAACGTTCTAGCCCTAGTAATGGCGGACAGCAATATATGGCATAGAAATCATCACCTCTGGCGCTCTTGTTCAACGGACTGGACGGGGATCTTCCCAAAAGGCATGGAGGCTTATATACGCTGAAGAAATTGAACTAAGTGGCGGAAAGTACTATTGTGCAAATGGTCCGCGTTGATGGCTCTAAGGAAAAGGCATTGAGATTTTGCGAAAATAAGGCATAGCTTTAGATGTTAACAAAGGCCCGTCCGCTGATTAGTTGACTTCAGACATCCTTTCTTACATCTACGCTGGAGATCTAAAGGTTTTAACTAGGACACGTACGCCTACGCTCTCACATCTTTTACCCATCGGATACTCGCATGCCATGTGCTAGCCAAACGACAGATTATCCATATTGACCTGCATTGTCAAAAGCTCCAGGCTTCAGACTGCAGTCTACCTCCGAACCCTAAACGCCCCATCATCCTCCTGGTTCGATACAGCCCCAAGAGGAAACCTCTCCTCATCCTTGAAAGTGATAGGCGAAACAATACGACCCGGAAACCACACATTGAAAGCTGCAGCGCAGAGGAACATGAGCGATGTGTCGAGACAATACAAATACACCTCTGTAGTCTGAAGCACGCCGTCCCGTCCCTCAGCAAACTCAGCCACTCGGAAAATCGACCGCACCAGAATAAGGAACGAGGTAGCGTAGAGGACCATGATGAACTGCCTCCACGGTCGCCGCCCGTTCATGCTCGTTGTCGTCGGGTGGTTAATGATTCGATAGTGGAAGACGGAGATGGTGACGATGAAGGCTGCGAAGAAGAGGATTTGAATCCCGAGACCTACGAGGATGATGTTTTGGCCACGGTCGAGTCCGTCTTTGTCACTTGCACCGGAGAGGATAGCTCCGCCTATTTAGGGAATGAGTCAGTCTTTCCGTCAACATCACAGGTGACGACGATTGGACACTGGGCTTACCAATGCACTGGAAGGCGAACGAGAATACGTCTCCGAACACAAAGATCTTTGTCATCCATCCGACGGGAATAATTGATAGATGGCCCGCTTCCAACGAGTCGATAATGCGACCTAGGAGCATGTAGATCGAGGCTGCGTACAGTGCTGGGGCAAGCAACGGTAGAAGAGTCTGGATGATGAACGGGACCTGTGAATAATTCGGTGTTTCGGATGCGTTCATTGCTCGACTCCCGTATCCAATGCTTTCAACTATTCAGCAGTTCATCAGTGGTCAGGCTTCAAGTAATCAACGGGTTTCAGTGGCCTCTTACAGTTGACACCGATGAAAAAGGCGATCCAGTACCAAGTCTTCGCCCGCTTGAGCTGAATGGAATGTATTACACCACTAATACCGAACAGCACGGCAAAGGTCACTGCTGCAGCGAGAGACGGGTCGTAAGGATACTTGGAAGGCTGTTGGTCCATTGTCGCATTAATGCTTTCCTCTCCTGTATTCTGAATAAAACTCGTTCAATCACAACTGTGTCCGCTGGTTTTGACCTTCCTCGTGCAAATACAAGATCCACCGTTCGCTTTATAGAGAGCCATGATCATATTTCGGACTCCATTGATGCGCGCTGGCTGAGCTATTCATGGTGTTTCTGTTACAACGCCCTGTATCAATAACAACATCAGAGGTTGGTGTTGAGGCAGTGCTCGGGGTCCAATTTCCCAATCCGCTCCTAGTTTCCTCGGGGAAAATATAGTTCGGGGAGTTTAGAGCCTTCGACGTCTAAACATGCGGGCCCTACGTAGATGCCGAGCCGGCGTCAAAAGTAAGCATACGAGATCGACAGGGGGTAAGCCGCGCTTCCGCGTTCTCCCCATGCACCGATAATCTTCATAGTCATGTCCGAAATAGTCGCCATGGAGATCTTGACTCGCTACTTACAGTACAGAAACTCAGCCATGATGCGGGTGACGACGCGTTAGATTAACAATGGATCAACCTTCTTACGTCTCGAGCGTATCACGACCTGTTTCGACAGGGCTGGAAAACGCCATCCTCGTAAGAATGGGGTTGGAGGGAACCCTTTACGAGCTGAGTGTACGCGTCACCCTATCTTCAACTTACTTCAGTCATCAAGCTCCAACCGACTGCTCACTGTCATGATGGGGCTCTTCTATGATACTTTGGCAAAGGGAAAACTACTCCCGAGCTGCCACCGGGGCCGAAACACAGCTTACGAGACGACGACTGAAGGTTCAGGCCGTGGTGAATGCGCTGTTCTCATTTGCCTCGGTAGCTGTATCTCAGGTACGGCGCCGACGTGTCAATAACCTCCGGATGAACTAGGCTCTTGTCAGGCCAAACTTCAAGCGCTATTTGCCTGCGCGTGCATAAATCAATAGGTTGGTTACCCATAATGGGATACAATTCAAAAGGGGACAATATAACATGGTTGATATCCCAACGTCAAAAAATAGAAGTCATAGATTCGTAACCTGCGCCATCTAACCGAAAAGAGTATACCGGTAAATCGTCCAGTACCTGGAGGCGACAAACCATGCCCCAAAACCTGCGTTGGGGCGCATGTGAAACTATAGGGTTACTAATCCCATCCATACATATACGCAAATCCCTTCCCGGGATTGCAAAGCCAACGGAGTTCCTTTTTTTTCTATTGGGGAATAATAATGGTAAAATCGTCCTGAACAATCCAATTCCCTGCTGATAAACAATGCAACAAAGTCCGTCTCGTAGTGTACGAGGTCTGTAAATCGCCTTCTGTACATTCAATCTCGTACTGAATAACAAGTCATGCGCCTGGCCGGCACAGGTAACTTATGTGAGAGTTGCCAGCATAGCGCGCATGATTCCAGGAGGAGGACCTGAAAACTCTCGCGTTAGCCTGGGCTCTGACTTGACGAGACGGTGACGAAGCGTACCTTAGTAGTACTTTGGTACGCTGATGGCCATCCTACCTTTCTTGTCCTTCTCAATCCGCACCCCACGCCGCGGCTCCTCGACCTTCTCGACCTTCTCCTCGAAGAGGACTACAGCGCCATCGGGCATCTGTTCAGCACGGACGAGTTCGCGGCTCCTTCCGTGCTTGCGCTCGTGAAGCTCAGCCTCAAGAGCCTTGATCTCGGATCTGATATTCTTGCGAGACCGAGACCGGCTACGGCGACGCTCAGCGACCGCCATGGGTCCGATAGGGACCTCTTCGCTGTACTCGCGGCGCTCGTATACGACTGGTGTTGCGGTCGTCGATGTTGTGTAGGATGTGGAGCTGCGAGCAGGAGAGACATCGCGGATGATGGTAGTCTTGTTGACCACCTCGTGAACGGGAGCGGGAGGTGGCGGAGGAGGCGCCTCATAGTAGACGGATGGGGGAGCAGGAGGGTGAGCAGAAACGACGGTTGGGGGCGCGGGAGGCGGCGCCACTGAAGCAGGCGCCGGTGGAGGAGGAGGGACATGGATGACAGTCGGGGGCGGCGGGGGAAGGGCAGCAACCGGCGGAGGGATGGTGTAAATCTCCTCGTGTCGTTCTTCATGCTTGCCAGCCGATGATCGAGCTGCGGCAATCTCCAATTCACCTGGCATCATGTCAGCTGCTGTCAGATGGATGAAAGCACATGGAATCACTTACTCTGCTTGTACTCCTCGCTGAGCTTCAGGAGTTCATCGATGTTGTCCTGGCCGAGAGCTTTAAGAACAATGATGGTGTTACCCTGGGAAATAAATGTGTTAGTTCAAAGTTGGCGCGCTCGATTGAAGCGAAACTTGCCTCTTCAATGTAAGGATATTCCAGGTCGATGAGCGCGCGCTTGGAAACCAGGCGCTGTGGGATGCGGGTCTTGCCCTTCTTCGGGTAGGAGCTGCGAACAGTCGTCGCGGTCTTGGTGGTGGTGCTGGTCGACCTGCTGGAGGTGCTGCTTGATCGTGAGCTGCTTCGGTGCGAACTCTTTCTGGTTGACCTTGACACCCTAGACTCTCGGCTGCGGTCTCTACGCCGG